AATTTAACAAAGATGGAACTGCAACCATCTCACAGAGATGTCCAGGCTGGTTCATGGAAGTTAACACCTCAACATGAACGTCTTCTGATGAGAAGGGTTGAAGAAAATCGCCATGCAAGTTCACTGCAGTTAGCTAAAGAAGTAGAAAGCCAAACTGGGGTGATTGTTTCCCGTGACACAATACAGCGTACACTGCAGAGGAACGGCAAGCATGGGTGTCGTCCATGAAGGTAGCCTCCTCTCCTAAAGCCCATGCAAAAAAAAGCCCACCTAGAATTTGCCAGGGCCCATGCTGAAAAAGAAGACGACTACTGGGACTCTGTACTCTGGAATGATGAGACCAACATAAGTGTTTTTTGGAACTGATGGCTTCAAAACTGTATGGCGTCACAAAGGTGAGGAGTACATAGAAAAATGAATGGTGCCTACAGTGAAACATGGTGGTGGCAGTGTCCTTCTGTGGGATTGCATGAGTGCTGCTGGTGTCGGGGAGCTGAATTTCATTGATGGTATCATGAATTCACAGATGTACTCCTCTATATTGAAAGAAGATGCTACCATCACTCCGTGCCCTTGGTCATCATGCACTTTTCCAACATGACAATGATCCAAAAACACATATCTAAGGCCACTGTTTCATTTCTGAAGAACAGAGTGAAAGTGATTCAGTGGCCAAGTATGTCTCCTGATCTGAAACCAATCGAACACCTATGGGGAATTCTGAGGAGACAAGCCGAGCATCACTCTCCATCCAGCATCCAGGCTCAAAGAGGTCATTCTTTATAAATGGAAAAAGACAGTAATTGTTGCAATATGTTTCTAACTTGTTCATTCCATGCCTAGAAGACTTGGTGCTGTCCTAACAAATCATGGAGGTCATACAAAATACTAGACGTAGTTTTTGTTGCGGGGTGCATTCATTTTTGCATCAATTTGAGTAAAATGAAGATTTTGTAATCTAAGTTATATTATTAACCTTACTTTGATGTAATGAGCTAAACAAACATTCTATAAAACTCAGTTTTGGAAATTGTTCCGGTGTTGAGGTATTGATTAAAATTTTACTTTTCAAAAGGGGTGTAATCATTTATGCTAAGCACTGTACATGTGTCCATTTACGCCCACCTATCTCTGGGTCTAATCTGGACCACTAAAAGGAAGGACTGCGTCCTCTTCTGTATGGGTGGACTGAATCGGAGGTAGCTGGGAGTAAACGGACAGGGAGTCAATTTACTACTGGCCACCCATAGAACAGAGCGGGCTCTTCCCCTGTCCACTCTGCATAGGACACGGACCAGTCATCCACCCTGCTCCGATCAGCAGGGGATCAGCGAACAGATTGCCTGCTGATAGGGAACGTAAGTCACCTGTCTGAACAGACCCTAGGAGCTTACAAAGGAGTGTAGCCACCTACTTACAGTAATAGAAGGGAGAGAGTCTGAAAAGGTTGATTGTGAAGAAATGACAGGCTACACACAAAAAGCACACAGTAAGAAATATTAGAGCTAAGGAATTCTGCTACAAGTTGTTTTGCATGGAGCATATAATAACGCCAACTCTGCAGTGCAGAAAAGAAAAGCGGGTCGATAGGGGTTAGCTATGGGCAACAAGAAATTTTAAAAAGGCCCACGTGGATATTTGGTAATCATGTTGCAATAACTTTGCATGGTCAACATAATTAAAGTCGACTGTCATCCAATAGATTTGCTATGATAAGTGCTGCATGCTCAGTTATGTGTCAGTGCGACACTTCCAGGTATTTATGACCTCTCAAAGATCACAGTAATCCCCATTCCTGGTGCCTCTACAATTGTTGGACGTGTTCATCCTTCTGCCTGCAGCAAGCTGATATTTCAGCTGAGACTGATGCTGGCCAGCAATTTTAGAACAAACATTCAAACGAATATTTGTAAAAACATTTGTACTAAAATTCTCAGTACATTTGAGGCATTGACGAATGTCATTCAAAAGTAATTTTGGAATGAATGGACATTTCAGAATGCAAACTGCATTTACTCTTAGAAATCTGTCCAAGAAATACATTTTCATCCTTCTCCTTTACAATTTCTTGTCACTGCAGACGAAAATGAATGGCACTTTGACAACAACTCACAATTAGAAAATCGAATGAATGCGATTAAAACAAATTCTACTATTGTATACTATTGGCCAGGATAGCTGCCCAATTCTTTCAGATTTCTGTTGTCTGTGTGCTTGGGAGGGATATTTCCCCTCAATTTACTAGTCATTGGGATAGTGATAGGAAATCTCTAATAACTTAATAGTTGGAAAGTTTAAAAAAAAAAAAAAAAAGTCTGTCAGGCTTTTATTGCTGTCACTTCTGGGACCTAGAGGGCTCCTTACTGTCATAGACTGTAAAATGTGACCAAAAAAATGAAAATTGCTGCTCAGTTTGAAGATTTTCCATTCCCCCTAGCCAACAGAACACAGGGGAAATAGTGATCCACCCTGTTGGATAACTTGGCATTGGAGAACAAAGGATCTATGACAAGGTGTGATAGCACAGTCCTGCTGATCTATGGCCAGGCATGGAGCTAGCACAGTCCTGCTGATCTATGGCCAGGCATGGAGCTAGCACAGTCCTGCTGATCTATGGCCAGGCATGGAGCTAGCACAGTCCTGCTGATCTATGGCCAGGCATGGAGCTAGCACAGTCCTGCTGATCTATGGCCAGGCATGGAGCTAGCACAGTCCTGCTGATCTATGGCCAGGCATGGAGCTAGCACAGTCCTGCTGATCTATGGCCAGGCATGGAGCTAGCACAGTCCTGCTGATCTATGGCCAGGCATGGAGCTAGCACAGTCCTGCTGATCTATGGCCAGGCATGGAGCTAGCACAGTCCTGCTGATCTATGGCCAGGCATGGAGCTAGCACAGTCCTGCTGATCTATGGCCAGGCATGGCGTTAGCACAGTCCTGCTGATCTATGGCCAGGCATGGAGTTAGCACAGTCCTGCTGATCTATGGCCAGGCATGGAGTTAGCACAGTCAGGCATGGAGTTGCACAGTCCTGCTGATCTATGGCCAGGCATGGAGTTAGCACAGTCCTGCTGATCTAAAGCCAGGCATGGAGTTAGCACAGTCCTGCTGATCTATGATCAGGCAGGAAGTTAGCACAGTCCTACTGTGTATGGTTTATGACCATGCGTGGTAAAGTCCTGTTGATCTGCGAGCAAGCATGGTATCACAGTCTCACTGATCTATGATCGGGCATGAGACGCTTCTCATTTTGGAATTCACCTGAATGAATAGGCTTTTGGGCCAATTCTTACCACAAAGTCAGCATCACTTAACTACAACAGTTCAAGATACACACAAACTTCTGAAACGTGTCTTAAAATGACCACATGTAGAGCCAAGTCTGAAAAACTAATTTAGGTAAATCCTAAAAATAAAAAAAATCCCTCAATCACTCTTTGCTGTACACATTGGCTCAGGTGAATCGGGCTTAGATGCAACGTGTAGGGGCATACTGTCCAGGCCCTGGGCTATCACTTAAGAGACACCAATGTCAATTTCATTTAAATTCAGAAAAAAAAGCAGTTGCACTCCAGCTTTTACCTTTCAGCTATTTTTTCTGGATATGGCATGGTGTTCTGTTTCCATGTTCTGTGCTGATTGCAGCATGTGCATCTTCCAATATATGCAGAGACTCCAAAAATGCAGAGTCATGAAAATAATTTACCCATTTCATTAACAGAAATTTATTGACTGGATGAGAAGTAGCTGAAACACGTTTGGGGAAATACATTTGAGTTTAAAGGTACCCCAGAAGCCACTTCTTTCACACTCCTGGTATAGCAAGCAGACAAGGGCTACAGCCTGTCATCAACCTATCATCGGAAACCACCCAGCAAAAAAAGGTGAAATCCACAAATACCATTTATCACCAAAACTTAGCAGTTAAACGGCACATTGCAAGGTATGTAAGGTGATTTATTAAAAAGAAAAAGTATGTATATAGGCCAACACAGGACAATACGTCCATCCTCTTTATCCAATGTAGGAGAATGAACATCTTAGAAACAGCTGAAAATAAGATCAAACAAGGTATTTACATACCAAAACTTTCTGCAACAACAGAAGGTGACAAATAAAAACATGTTTAGAAAATTGAAATTAAGGCTTCTTTCTTAGAATATATTCATTGGCTCACACCTGGAGTAATGAAATCATAGACTAGAAGACAGCAGCTATACTTATATACAGGGGTGATGAAATCCTTGGGAGCTCATATAAACCATTAGCCGTTGGGGGGTCAGGCAGGCATAGTGCTCAATCTTTTTATCTGAGGACAGAGCACCGGGGCAGCCGCACACAACTGGCAAGAGAAGGGACCCCAGTATGTCAGGATAAGGGTTACCAAGTGACACAATAAATAAAAAGGATTGATCCTTAAGCTGCCACATCAGATTACTGTCTTAACCTGTGTGTACAAAGTGGCAGAACAGAAGGTGACTGGACACTAGCAGATACGGCATGACAGAAATCCAGGATCCATTAACTTCCACAACGCATCTCCTCCAGCAGCACTTTGTGAACATTTTTGAATGCAACACCAACAGCCGTGGCTGAATAGTAAAAAAGGGCAACAGATTCCCTCATTTTAGTGGCCACCCTAAAGCCCACCCTACAGGTTAAAAATCGAAAACGTCTTTTAAAGAAAGCAGAACCGGTGAAAACGAAAACTGTTGAATTTCTAGTGAAACATTTCTCTAGCCAGTTCCATCAAATGGCTTTTATTTTACAAAGAAAGAAAGCGGGGTCTGTAAGACCAGTCCTGAATTCCGGGGGGGAAAGATTCATAAAAAGCAAATTCTAGAAAGTCATGTCCTTTAAAGCTGAGTGGTGCTAAAGTTTCCAGAACAGTTTCAGCTTGAAATAAATATTTTGCCTATGAATATTGGCCTTTTCTTCACGTCATGCCCCCCTCAGCCAGTTTTGTTTCCTCCGGTGAACCCACACGTACAAAAGTCCTTTTCACTGTGTTTGATAGCTGGCCATACTATACCCGGGTGGGTTTGGTATGACTGGCGGTCCCTGTGCTGGTGGTGGAGGCTGGGCATTGAAACCACCCATCCATGTAGCAGACTGTGATTGCCTACAATACAGAAAAACAAATGAACATAAAAGCCAGCAATTTCCATATAAAAAGTCCACTTCCAGTTAATACCACTGACAGGTCACTTACTCAACTCCGAAGCTTTGCTGATTCCAAGCTTGTCCATACATACTGTAAGAGGGTACCTGCCATCCATTAGCCACATACTGGCCATATTGCTGGGGGCTACTATACATCTGGCTCCATTGACCCCATTGAGTATAGTCCACCTGGAATGGAAGATACAGGACATAAATCTTATGATACAGTGAGGACCCGACTATGGGTCATAACATTTGCAATGGCCTGACTCTCAGACTAACTAAATGGTAATGGAGGAAAAGGCAGAAATAGGATAAAGCCAATTATTCCCCCCAAAAAATCAATCATGCAGAGCTAACCATCAATAGTGATTGCAATCTTTTCATTCTCACATATGGGGAATGCTTCAGCATCAAGCAAACAATATCTTCCACATAGCATCGTTCCTTAATTGTTGGTAAGCATAATAATCACCTGCTGGAAGCCCTTTGCCATGTCTGGTGTCTCTTTACCCCAGTAGCATTTGACAACATGCCCTTCTATGGTGGTGCCATTCACAGACACAATAGCGTGTGCAGCACTGTCATGGCTGGAAAATCTAAAACAAGGACAAGAGAGTGACAAATGCAGAATTATTAAATGGAATAAAGAGGCTTACTAAAACTTAATGCTGCCAACACTTGCAAACTACCATCTGTGCTTCAGGGCCCTGGAATAGGCAAGACATACCATTTATTCCAAACTTCACATTTAAACTCAAGACAAAGCCAATTACAGATAAACAAGCCTTTCTCTGAAGAAATAGTTAAGTTGGACCAACTCAATTGATTGCAGGAATCTTCCAGAACAGAGAAGGTGCCCAGCCAGGAAACACAAACTATGCTCTCTACCAAAAGAGTACAGAAAAAAAAAAAAAAAATACATGACTATCATGGGATGGAATCCTGTGAGGTCCTGAAAGATTTACAGAAATATCATCTCTAGTAAGAGGAAATTTTTTTTTCTGCTGATAATTCATTATCCAGGTCAGCAAAGCAAGAAATACCAGATTAGGAAGAACTACCTTTTAAACGAAACCCCCCCCCCCCCCCCCCGACTGCTTTTCGGCTGCATTAAAAAAAAAGGACAAATAAAAAGGTACTGTGAGGAAACTATGATTTCCATACAGGTCTCCTCACAAGAGACTACTACTAACCCAGAAGAAAGATGCAAGGAATACACCTTGAGGCTCCATTCACATCTGAGCGTAGCGTGTTTTGTTACACGCATTTGTATACAGTGTTTTTAGGCGTTTTTTGCACTTTGGCTGTCTTTTATTAGCCAATAGAGCAAAATATCATCTGTTGCATCATTTTGTTGCTAGGTTTTTCTTTTTTTTAGTTTTTCAAACAGCTTTAGTTTTTATTATTATTCATTTTTTATTTTATTTGGGTAAAGGGTTAGAATTGAGGTTAGGGCTGGGTTTGGATTAGTATTTTATTTACTATTTTCTTATTATTGATTCATTTTATTTATAGTATTTTACTTACTATTTTCTATTTATTTACTTGTTAGGGCAATAATAGTAATAATAATAATAAAATGAATAAATGTAAAATACACAAAAAACAAATCATCAATACTAGGTATTAATAAATAAATTACCCCCTAACCCCAACCCTTTAAAAAAACAACAAATTATTATTAACAATAATAATAAAAAACACCTAGATGCGAACAAAAAAAAAATACATTATTAATAATAATAATAATAATAATAATAATAATAATAAATGAATAAACACACAAATAAAAAAAATATAATAGGAAATTCTATCTATCCATTCATTCAGTTGTATTCGACCCTTGGCGATTGCATGGACTGTCACTCGTAAGCAAATTTTTCCATGAATTCTCTTAGCAATTTTACAGGGTAGGCTGCCAGGTCTTTCCCCAACCCCTACCATGCAGTAGATCCCGGATGGCCAGAGATGAAACTAGGACAATTTAGACAGAAGCCAATTAACCTACCAGCATGTCTTTGGAGTGTGGGAGGAAACAGGAGTACCCAGAGGAAACCCACGCAAGCACAGGGAGAACATGCAAACTCCATGCAGGAGGCGCCATGGTTGGAAATCTAAATAGCAATAGTAAGTTAGTATATTAATAATAATTAACCCATAACCTTAACCCCAAAACCTAAAAAGTAATAAAACAATTTATTATTTTTATTAATGTATTTTTTTGTTTGGATGTTTATTAATAATAATTTATTTTTTAAAGGTTGGGGGTTAATTTTTTATGATTTAGTAATCATTAATTTTATTTATATGTGCAATTTACATTTATTTATTCATATACTATTATTTTTTATTTTACATTAGTTCATTTGAACAGAAAATCGCACAAAACATGCACAAAAACGCGCCAATCGCGCGTTTCTATGGGAATAAAAAAAACGCGCCACAAACCTGCACATCTACGCAAATTGAGCGCCAGCCGACTTGGAGTGGAGATGTGAGTATACAGAGTAATATTGATTTTTTTTTTTTTTCCCCTGAACGTTTTGGAGCTTCGTGCTACAAAACACTCAGGTGTGAATGCAGCCTGACAGCTGAAGGAGACAGAATCATGTTGAAGCAGCACTTCTCAATAGTAAGGCAAATCAATGGGCTAAAGCCTGCCATAGAGAGAGCGACTTTCTTTCCTGCAACCATGGGTGGAGGGCATGAGGGTGTGCTTAGCTGAGAAAATCCCTCCTCCCCTCCTGAAGCCACCTGGGGTGTATGAGATCATTTACCTAGGCAGGGAAACTAGGAAGTGACAAAGAAGAAAAAAAAAAAAGGTAACAAAATAGTTTAAAATAAGTAAATATGATATATTTTCCTATCTATTTACTATTGCTAGCAGCAAAAGGATTGAGGATAGTCAATGTTGAGTGAAGTTCTACTTGAAGGAACAGTAGAAAACTAAGACAATAAAACCAGAATAATAGAAATAATAGTTGGTTCTAACTATAAGGGGATACCATATAACATCTAGAGCAAACAGAGCGAGCTATCAGGATGTGGAAAAATTATATCTTGAGAATTGTAAAAATCAGAGCTGGAGTCGGTATGCGGAATCACCCCATCTTGAAGAAATGACAAGTAAAGCTGGCCATAGATGAACTGAAATTCGTCTGGTTCAGCGGGGCCCGGCTGAGATTCGATGCATGTAGAAATTTGATTCATCTAGGAGCTGCTTAGGGGTACTTGCACAAAAGGGTCTGCTAGTTGGTGGTGTTTGTTAACCCACTTAAAGAAGGTAACTGCAATTAACCTGAAAAGGTTTTGGGATAGCAGTTTTAGGATGGCCATACATGGTTCAGTTTTTTCATTCAGCTGGTGGTCATACCAAAAAAAAAAAAAAAAAAAAAAAAAAAAAAAAAAAATCTGATTCCCCATCCACATTTTCCACATGGACGCAGGAATCCTCCCTGCTGTGTCATTGTATTCCGACAGCAGGACATCCCCCCACCGTTGGAATACATTGATCATTGCTGCTGATCAGTGTATTCCTGTTTTCCAGGCCTAGGCAATGATGTCATACATCCCAAGAGTCTTCAGGAAAGGGAGGAGGGGTTTTCTCAGCTAAGCACACCCCGCTGCTCCAAACCTGAGCTAAGGGGAGATGGACTCCAGGTAGTAAATACTACACAAATCATCTTCCCTTACAAGATGGCCAAGGCCTGCAATGCTATGGAGTGTTTTTTAAAGTGATTTCACTGAAGTACAGAGACATAGATGGATTGGCAAGTTTGCTTTGAATATTAAAAATGAATTAGTGTTTTTGGTTTGCTGTCCTCAGATGCAGTGTAGTTCCACTTTAAGTAAATCCAGTGTTACCATGAAATAGTTTAGGGAAAGTTAGTTTAAAAATGGATCTTTTTTGAACCTGTACTGAATTAAAATGTACTAATTCAACATTGCTGTAAAGAAATTATACCAAGGCTAAGAACTTCTCCGGGTTCTAAAACAAGGATGGTGGTATAAGATCATGACAAATCACTGTGGGGCCTGGAAGTAAACTCCAACTGATAACCTTTGCAAATGATTTCATAGATAAATGAGTAGGATGTGATCTGTGTGGGTGGGGGGGAGACACATTTGATGCCTTCAGCTGCCATTGTGCTCTTGCTGGGCATCCAGTATATCCCTGTGCCTTTAAAGAGTGGACTCTTTCCAGGAAAACTTGCCCTTAATTTATCCACTGCTATATATGCTCCAAAATTGGAGACTCTCAAAACTATAGTTAGGACTTCAGTATACAGAGGAGCCTTGACACGGGCACGGTCACTTTATTACACCTTACTAGTCCCAAGAAAATCTCCCCCACACCATTACATCACCACCAGTCTTAACTGTTGATACAAGGCAGGATGGATCCATGCTTTCATGTTGTTTACTCCAAATTCTGACCCTACCATCTGAATGTCGCAGCAATCAGTTTGCACCATTCTCTGTAGATCCTAGATATGGCTGTGTGTGAAAATCCCAGTACATCAGCACTTTTTGAAATACTCAGACCAAGAAAGTTATCAAGCAATTGCACAGGTGAACCCAGTAAAGTGGTCAGTGAGTGTATATTTGCAAATGTGAGATATGAAACCCTCTGTTTTAATGCGAGTTGTTAGGAAGGGTCAATTTGGTTTGTTTGCAGGCTGGCTGGCTGGTAAGTGTGCTGGGAAATCTGTTGGCACAGACATTGATATATGGAACCTACTCAGACACTCCATGAACACTTGGATGCAATATGTGAACTGGTATATGGGAAATTTGTTTGGGAGGATGTCATCTGTTCCAGTTCAAGGAGGAAGGTTCCCCAGAATGAAAAGTACTCTATCCTGCTCTTTTGAAGGACCATTTCTTGGAGGGTCAATTTTTAGCAGGCTCTTGATTTAGAATTAAACTTACTTCTAAAAAATGACTGTCTGCCTGGTAGCCCTTCCTTCTTACTGAACAGGACAGCAGCATGTCTAGGAACAAAGTGACAACTGCCTACAGCAGGATACACCATATAACTGAGACTCTGTCTTTGCCCTGACTGCTTTGCATGAAGAGCAGCAAAGTGGGCAACTATATAAATTTCTGCCATTATCAATGCCCATCTGAGAATAAAATCAGCTTATTGTCGTTAGTTTTTTAAAGGATCTGTCACTGAAAGATAAACCTGTCAATTTGGGCATTTTAGGAATATAAGTTGTACAAGTAAAGCATCAATCTTCCTCTAAAAAGAAAAGCCTTCTCTGCAGTCCACAGCTACCCTCTCTTAGGAAAAGTATTCTTATCTAGTACTTTTGTGCTGTGTGTCTATAGACACATGGTCTTGTACATATAAAAACTCACAATTTGCTGAACCCTTGAAACAGTGAAGAGCTTGAATCTTTTTGGAAGCACAGATGTAGTACACAGATCAGGATTCTTACTTCACACTTCGTAATCTGTATGCTTTTTCTGGGTCAGTGGCTCAGTATTTTTAGAAGTCAGCCAGCAACGAAAGCCCTTGAATCTCTTATTACAAGTTTCCTTTAAACATTTCTTCCATCTCAGCAAGAGAAAGAGAGAACATGCAATCTTTGTACTCTTATTGCCATATCATCTAGTAAATCTGCGTGCCTGTCCTCCAAAAAAGGAGAAAGAAATGTAAGAATTCTCAGACACCCCCCTAACCATAACCTTGACTGTAGAAGATGATCAAGGCTCATAATCCGAGGGCTGGGACAGAGGAAACAACTTCTGTAAATACAGCATGAATAAGTGTGAAAGCTAGAAGCTACTTCATCAGAAAAACTGGATCCTTGAATGCCAGAGCAGATTCTTGGCCGACTACCATATTAATACAGGCCTAACAGGTTTAGACCAGAACTTAGGCAGTGTGGAGGCAAACAGGCACATGGTTCTAGCCCTTGGAGAAATAAAAAGCTTTGTGCAGCTCAAAATCCCACCATGCAACATACCTGCTCTGACACACAACACAGAGAAAAGAGGCACGGTTATATCAAATAGCACTTCAACACAAATCTACCTGCTTTAAAATACACACAAGTGAGTCAGTCATAAACATCAGCACAAGTCACTTAGTGGTGTGTTGTTCCAGGAGATGTGCAATGTGCTTCTTGTAATGTGCTAGAGGTATCCAATATGTTGATGGGTTCAACAACCAAACAGCTATATTGCAGCTATTGGTTAATGGTAGTGAAGAAAACATACCTGCAAAGTGCAACCCAAAAAAACCAAAAACCAAAAAAAAAAAAAAAAACACATTTGTTAGATGCTAGTCATCTAACAAACAGAACGTGCTTTCTTGATGGAGATGGAAGACAGCAAGGTGCTGATTATTTACAACCCAATCACATTCTTTGACCAAGCTGTACTGCTTTAACTTCATGTGAGAAAGGGAGGTCAGGGACCTATGGCAGCAACAGCTGCTGAATGGAATTACAATTTTTTTGAAGGTAAGACAGATCAGCTTCTATAATTTTCAACAGCTTCACTGAACATACTTAATAGAAGGAGCCAGAAAAGCAGACACGGTGCGGATTTCAAGTAGATCAGCTGCTTCAGACTTGCATTGTCAAAAGGAGCAACAGAACAGAATCACTGTATAGAACAAATATGGCTTTGCTTGCGTATATTGAAAAATTCAAAACTATACATAGGGAAAATAAACACGAGTGAACACGCAGACGCACACACAGACTATGAAAATACCAATATTCAGCTTTTACATTTAACAAGCAAAAACCATAACATTATTCACCATGGAGTAGTCACCTGATAAAAGAGTATCCTTTTTCTGGAAAAACTCGGATTTCCATAATCTGTCCAAACACACCAAATGTCTGCCTCATTAGCTGCTCTGTAATGACAATAAAATAGTAGATAAGTAATAGAACCACTCAAATGGGAGTCAGGAAAAGTCTATATATTACCTGGTACAATAGCAGGAAGAAGTGTGTAACCCATCTGTGTAATTGAAAAGCCAGCAAAAATGCATTTAAAGCTGAATTCCAGGCACCTAAATGTTCTATTCAAATATATTCCTCAATAGGCACGGAGGACATACACTGCCATTGCAAACCAAGTTATTACTTTATAAATGTAGCTATCAATCACTGTGCTGTATTACCTCTGCAGAGCTGTGGGAGGGGCCAAGCAGAACCATCCACTACAGACTGTCTGCAGAAAATGATAGGAGGGTGCAGGGACAAGACCAGTCAACCTGCACATGGAAAGAGAGCAGCAGAGACCAGTCTTTATTACAGGAAGCTCCTGCGCAAAGGCAGAGATTCACAAAGTATTACCGCACAGATTTGGAATAAAAAAAACTAAGTGCACACAGATTCAAGTAAGAATACACACTTTTGTATTTGGACAAGATTTGCTTCTCCTGGAGTTCAGCTTTAAAGCAGAATTTCACTGCTGCATTATCCCCCCCCCTTTCCACATTGTCAACATGCAAGGGCCGATGTACGAGCAGATGTGATGCCGGTTTCTGCTGGGTATTTGGGACCTGGGGAAAGACCAGCTGCGCCTCTGTGCATGTGTGTGGGGCCTTTCTGCACATGCACGCCTCCATTTCTAATGTGTGGGCACCCTAGTTTCCAGTGGCACGCTAAGTGCGTGTGGAGATACACAGCAAACTGCTTAAAGGGATAGCTGTGACGTAGCAATACCAGGAGGCAGTGGGGCACAGCCTAGTCTGAAAACCAGTAAGTGCAGCCTTACAGCAAAATAACACACCTAAAAGGTAAAAAAACTGAATATTTTTTTTTTTTTACATTTTCGTAAGAGGGAGGAGGGTTGGACCAAAAAGAAAAAAAATGTTGCTACAGAGAGTTAAGCTCCACTTTGAGGGAGATGAAAAACCTAAAGCTAGCCATAATCATTTTTGCACATTATCCAGCTTGCTCTAAAGATGTAACTCTGAGGTTTGGCAAACACATGTATAACAGATATGTCAGGATTTGTCAGATTTTATGCCACAAACTCTAAAAATACTTCAGATTAACACAAACCACCATTTCCCAGAAACATGCTGTGTATACAGATCAGTCTCAGATCACAACCACACACATGTGGAAGAATAAAACTACCAGCAGTTGCTCTCTGCAATACTGTGGGCATGCAGAGGAAACATTCATATGCTACTCACCCCCAATGTTTAACATATACAACAAATGATTCTGAATATATGGTTTACAAAAGGCCATTCATTTGCCATTTAGATTCAGAATGAGACAAAACAGTTCATGTTTTAAGTAACTCTGCTGTCAGGAACACTAGTGTTGTTACTTGAAGTATGTAATGAGCTGTACCATTAGGAAGTATGCAGTGACATCCCTCATTAAGGTGGTAACTCATTTCTATTTTTACCTACAGGAAGGCTTATAATAAAGCTTACATGTAGGTAAAATGAATACCTCCTAAAGAGAGATTTTACAGAGCTGCAGCTGGTGACATCATCGGCGCATGCACTCTGAAGGAACGGCCTTACCCGTTACGTTCCTTGAGAGCTATGTGCCGTCACCGAAACTCCCGCATCGGCGGCTCAGCCATTCAAGCAGCTGCAGCCCAAGAACCCGGAAAGAAGAACGGGTGAAAATGGAAGCCCTGTGAGCGGTGACAGCGCACCACTGGAGGCTTTGTTTTAAGGTAAGTTTCACATAATGTGTTAGTATACAATGCATACTACTAGCACATTATGAATTTACTTTGCAGGGGGAAACTTTTTTTTCGAACACGTTTAGAACCGCTTTAAGTCTATAACGAGCCATCAGAACTATACAGTGAGGTTCTTTATAATGTCTATAATAAACCCGCAGGACATTCCTTATAAAAAGGCCTATAATGAGCTCTGCCATCCCCAACTCTACTGTGGTCTATAATAAGCCATTAGGAACATCACAACTATGTAACTCAGAACTATACAGTGATGTTTTTATGAAGTCTATAATGAGCCCCCAGGAACTATACAGTGATGTTTTTATGAAGTCACAATGAGCCCCCGGGAACTATACAGTGATGGTTTATGAAGTCTACAATGAGCCCCCAGGAACTATACAGTGATGTTTTTATGAAGTCTACAATGAGCCCCCGGGGAACTATACAGTGATGGTTTATGAAGTCTACAATGAGCCCCCCCGGGAACTATACAGTGATGGTTTATGAAGTCTATAATGAGCCCCCAGGAACTATACAGTGATGGTTTTATGAAGTCTATAATGAGCCCCCAGGAACTATACAGTGATGTTTTATGAAGTCTATAATGAGTCCCATGAGCCCCCAGGAACTATACAGTGATGTTTTATGAAGTCTATAATGAGTCCCAGGAACTATACAGTGACTTTCCTTATAAAGTCTAGAATGAGCTACAAGAGTTAAGGTCTCTTTAGACGCCGCCAAGGCTTTCGATTCAGTTGAATGGATATATCTGTGGCACGGTCTCCAAAGCTTTAATTGTGACCTTAAATTTATTAAATGGATCTCCATCTTGTATTCAAATCCACAGGCTCGAGTGTTAGCTAATGGTTGGACCTCTGAGATATTTTCCTCTCTCTAGAGGCACCTGTCAAGGATGTACGCTTTGGCGGATGAACCTTTAGCCATAAAAATCTGCTCTGCCCCTGGAGTGTATGGACTGCAGAAGGGAGACTTAGCTGAAAAGATTGGGCTATATGCTTATGATATGATACTTTATTTAGCAGACTCTGGCCCGTCTTTGTCACAGACTCTGGATCTCATAGAACAATTTAGAAAATTTTCTGGCCTCAAAATTAATTGGGATAAATGGAAAATTCTTACTATTGCCTCCTTTCCCCCTTCTGCTGACCAAGCCTCTTTGCCGTTAGAGTGTCTTAGCACCATCAAATATCTGGGTGTGCGAGTATCTAGATCACTTGCTGACTATATTGCCTTAAATGTAGAACCCCTTTTCTCCCTCAAGGCCAAATCCCAAATTTGGGCCAGACTGCCACTGAGAGTTATGGGTTGAATTGGGTTGGTAAAGATGGTCCTATTGCCTAAAATCCTCTATATACTCTGGCACTCCCAGTCTACAACCCACTTAGGCACTTTAAGGCTATGGACACGATCCTGAAATCCTTTGTCTGGGGCAACAGATGACAAACTGGCATGGCATGTACCTAAAATCCCACCTCCCTAGGGGGGCACGGCTCTCCCAGATCTTGGGCTCTTATCTAGCTGCCCAACTTTCTCATCTTTACCATATTGATAAAACTGACAGGGAAAGGTTCTGTGCCTTAGTATTCGACCCAGAAAGTGCGCCAGACTACACCCATTCTGTGATATTACTAGAGGTGTTCGAGAATCTATTACACAGTCCTGCACTAAAAAAATGGCCTTCCATTATAAAAGAATCTGGGATCGCTCCATTTCCAAGATCAATTCCCTGCAGTTTCATATCGATACCCCACCTTGGTCCAATCGGTTGCTGACCGAACTCTTAATTGTTCCCGACCACAAGCTGTGGATTTCTAGAGGAGTATACCTCCTCTCCCATGTAATATCCAATGGGGCGTTAAAAGACTTTTGAGGTTCTGAAGCAGGAGTTCTCTCCCAAATGTTATTCTATTCCGTTACCTTCAGGTACGGGATACCTTAATGTCTCAATTCACTAATGACATCCCAGCCCTCACCTCACTATCTTTACTAGATGTGGTGTAGGGGGGAGAATCTCGCAAACTGTTCTCCACTCTGTATGAACGTCTCTTCACCCCAGTTGCCTCTGATCTGGCCTACTCTCTCAAATCTCGATGGGTGACAGATATAGGGGCTATTGACGATAAGGAATGGGAGGAGGCCTAGACAACTGCAAAAAGATTTCGCCTAAGATGCCCAACCGTCTTACCAAACTCTACATTGCACATAGGGCATACCTTACAACAACTCGCCTTGCACGATTTAGATCGAATAGGGATTCTTATTGTCCTATATACCATCTCCGGGCACATTCACCCATCTGCTATGGCAATGCCCACAGATAAATGGATTTTGCACTCAGGTAATCCAGTTTTTACATGACCGCATGGGTTTTCCTATATTCTTGGATCCAAAACCATGTTTATTGGTAATTATTTCGGAAGCTGAGAGGTATATGACTACATTTTTACATGAAACTTTGTTTAGTCCCAGGAAATTGGTAGCCTGCCATTGGATGCAGGTGTTCCCTCCAACACTGGAGGACTGGATGGTGGATGTTAACAACACCCTACCTTTGAAAAAAATTATATACACTGCTCAAAAAAATGAAAGGAACACTATTTAATCAGATTATAGTATCAAGGCAATGAACTCTGGGGATATTGATCTGGTCAGTTAAGTAGCAGAGGGGGTTGTTAATCAGTTTCAGCTGCTTTGGGGTTAATGAAATTAACAGGTGCACTAGATGGGCAACAATGAGATGACCCCCAAAACAGGTATGATTTTACATGGTGGAGACCACTGATATTTTATTCCCTACTCATCTTTTCTGACTGTTTTTCACTAGTTTTGCAGTTGGCTAGGGTCAGTGTCACTACTGGCAGCATGAGGCAGGCAGTCCAATTCCTCCAGGATGGCACATCAATATCTGCCATTGACAGAAGGTTTGCTGTGTGTCCCAGCACAGCCTCAAGAGCATGGAGGAGATTACAGGAGACAGGCAGTTACTCTAGGAGAGCTGGACAGGGCCGTAGAAGGTCCTTAACCCATCAGCAGGACCGGTATCTGCTCCTTTGTGCAAGGAGGAACAGGATGAGTACTGCCAGAGCCCTACAAAATGACCTCCAGCAGGCCAATGGTGTGAATGTCTCTGACCAAACAATCAGAAACAGATTTTATGAGGGTGGCCTTGGGGACTGATGTCCTCTGGTGGGCCCCTGTGCTCAATGCCCGGCACCATAGAGCTCGATTGGCATTTGCTATTGAACACCAGAATTGGCAGGCCTGTGCTTTTTACAGATGAGAGCAGGTTCATCCTGAACACGTGCGACAGACGTGAAAGGGTCTGGAGAAGCTGTGGAGAAGGTTATGCTGCCTGTAACATCATTCAGCATGACCGTTTTGGTGGTGGGTCAGTGATGGTCTGGAGAGGCATATCCATGGAGGGACGCACAGACCTCTACAGGCTAGACCAGTGGTCTCCAAACTGTGACCCGGGGGCCAGATACAGCCCTTTGCTTGCATTTTTTCGGCCCTCTGAATCCTCCCACTGATATGAGACACTATTCTATCAACAAATACTAACAATAGGACATTAATTCTCCAACTGACACTAAATTGTGCACTATCCTAATGATACCTATGATGGGGCACTATTCCTCCCCTAACACCAAATGTGGCGATACTTACTCCCACGGATGCCAGAAAAACGTCTACTCCTGCTGACCACCCTAAAGTCTGAAGGATAATAAACTGGCTCTTTAATTGGAAAGTTTGGAGACCCCTGGGCTACAAAACGGCACCCCAACTGCCATTAGGTATCGGGATGAAATCCTTGGACCCAGTCAGACCCTACACTGGTGCAGCGAGTCCTGGGTTCCTCCTGGTGCACGACAATGCCAGGTCTCATGTGGTGAGAGTATGCAGGCACTTCCTGGAGGATGAAGGAATTGATACCATTGAATGGCCCCCACACTCGCCTGACCTAAATCCAAGAGACCACCTCTGGGATATCATGTTTTGGTCCATCCGCCACCAGGTTGCACCTCAGAATGACCAGGAGGTCATTGATGCCCTGGTCCACATCTGGGAGGAAATACCCCAGGACACCATCCGCCATCTCATTAGGAGCATGCCCTGACGTTGTCAGGCATGCATACAAGCATGTGGGGGCCATACAAACTACTGAGTACCATTTTGAGTTGCTGCAATGAAATTTCAGCAAAATGGACTAGCCTGCTGCATCATTTTTTCACTTTGATTTCCGGGGTGTCTTTGAATTCAGTCCACTGTAGGCTGACAATTTTCTTTTCCATCAAACGATGGGGCATCCTTACTAACACATTACCCCGTCCATATCAGTATAGATATCCAGCATGATATTTTTCCCCATTGAGATCTGAGGTGTTTCAAAGTATTCCTTTAATTTTTTGAGCAGTGTATGTTAATAGGGGCTGGCCTAGCAAATATAACAAAATATGGGATCGTTGGCTGCAATCTGCAGATACCTGCACCTAGATAGGGCAGGATTGGCTTGGACCCACATACAGACTGTATATTTAAATTTTACTCTTCTTATTCTTTGTATCTCCTTCATGCATTATCTATCCTGAGGTAGACATGTCCTCTCCATAAAGGGATATGATGACTTTTTTATCACCTGCTGCAGGCAAGCATATGCTCTATGTAGGTCTCCACTTCTATGTTACAATCAGTATTCTATTGTCACCATATAGTTGTTCTTTTCTGGTTTGTTTGTAACCATTCCTGTTTAACCTTTGTACAACCCAAATGCTTCATACTGTAAACGTATGGCTTTATTTTTCATTCAATAAAAGATTTTGCCTACTTGGTAAAAAAAAAACAAAAAGAAGAAAAAAAAGGTCTATAAATGAGCTGAGCCATCAGGGACTGCGCAGTGATTTTCTTTCTCTCTTTTTTATAAAAGACCAGAATAAGCCATCAGGGACTACACAGTGAAGTTCTTCATGAAGTCTACAGTCAGCTATGAGGATCTATACAGTGATGTTCTTTATAAAGTCTATAATGAGCTCTGCCATCAGCAAGTATACAGTGGCATTCCTTATGAAGTCAGAGCAGCTCTTCTCAGGTCCTCCTGGCCCCTCCATCCTGGCAAGTGCCCCCACAGCAAGCAGCTTACTACGAGGGCTCCTGAACCTCTGCTCTATGTGACCACATTTACACACAACCGTGGCTCAGCCCTGCCCCCACTCTCTCCTTATGGGTCACAGGCGGTGACTGACAGTATGGCATTTGCTCCCGCTGCGGTCTCAGCCAATGAGAACTGAGAGACCAGAGGCTCATGTGCACATCGCTAGATCGAGATGGGGCATAGGTAAGTACTGGGGGATCTGCTGCACACAGAAAGTTTTTTACTTTCATGCACAGAATGCATGAAGGGAAAAAACCTTTACAACCACTTTAACATCTATCCAAGCAGTAAGGGCTCCCCCTAGTGTAGTGTTCATAAACACCCCATAATAGATGTGTCACATTGAGGAAACTGGGAGAAAATAGTACGGACTGTAGAGAATAACAGCAGAGCTTACAAAAGATGGAATTTTCAGGTTAAGATGTCTTAACACGATACCACTTCCTCATTAGTAGCAACTATGTCACTTATCTTTGTATATGGCTCCTTCTCTGGGTTCACAATCAATTGGGACAAATCCTTTCTGATGCCACTTGATCCATTAACTGATGACTTGCCAACCACGGCAACTTTAATTTCTGTAGTCTCCTTTTTTAAATACTTAGGAGTACAAGTTACAACCTACAGTAACAGATTTGACTCTAAACATTGAACCCTCACTAACTCAGCTAAAGCAGACAGGAAGAACTTGGTGTAAATTACCTCTGGCAGTCCTTGGCAGAGTAAATTTAATCAAGATGATGTGGATGTCACAATCATTATTACTTCTACAGAAATGCCCTGTATGAGTCCCACAACAAATCTTTAGAATTACTGATACGCTATTCTGGGATTTCATCTGAAAACGAAGACACTTGACCCTAGAATAAAACTTGCCACCATCCAAAGATGGTGGGGGCCTGGCAGTTCCTAATGTCAAATCGTATTTCTTGGCCTGAGGTCTCCTTAGTGAAACTTTTAGTGTCGGTCACTTTCATGCCCAACGCAAGTTTCCATCACTTTCTATGCTTCACCATTGCTAGGAATCTGTTAGGACTCAATCATCTCATAAAAGGATATGTGCAGTTCATGCCAATTTGGAATAATCCAATAACCCAAGTCTTCCTGAGCTATCTAAACTCAAAGACTTCGATGCTTGGAGGCAGGTGGGCATTACCCACTTGCACCAGTTATAGAAAATGGATGTTCTTCTACCTTTTGATATTATGGTAAAGAAATATCAATTATCGCATAAAATGTTTTTTCAATATCTGCAACTCCACCATGCTCTGCACTGTCTGGCTGCTTTCGTGTTGTTAAAATATAATCCCTCAAGCATACTTAATATGGTGGTGTCCACATCCTGTACTAAACAGGGATTATTGGGGATTTGTATTCTGCTATGCATACAGCCTTCAGTGTACAGGTACATTTGAAGTGTGGTAGTAGGTGGGAGGAAGACTTGGGTCCCTTTGAGGAAGATCAATGGCAACAGGCACTGGAACGATCCCTGTAGTATCCCTGTCCCCATCTCAATGCCTGACAAAGCTATTCATACTGCATAGGGTGCACTACACATCAGAATGTCTTCATTCTTGGGGTAGATCTGACTGACCACATTGTAAGGCAAATACAGGATCCTTAATTCATATGCTATGGCGTTGCCCAAAACTTCCATCGTTACGAACTGGGCTGCTGTTTTCCAAACACTTAACAGTATATGCTCTATTCATGTCCCACTTCATCCTTAGTGTGCTCTTTTAGTTAATTATTCCAGAGGATGCTTTACCTGCTGAATACAGACTATTAAAAACTAGAGCCCTGTACAGTGCCTTTAAACTTTTTTTTTGCAGTGGAAGGGTATAGTGAATTCTAATTTAAAACAGGAATATTTAACATATAAACATATGGGATGCTTCAAGAAATTTTGTAAAATATGGGACCCCTGGCTATTCTCTACCGAATCAACCTTTATTTCCTATAAAGGTTAATATGATAAAAAAAAAAAAAAAAAAATTATTTAAAAAAATAAAAAAACTACTTTCCCATTAGACAAATTTGGGGTAGCTGTGCCAGGCAGGGCTTTGCAGCCATAAGAAAAATGCATACTTCCTGATACTGTACAATGCATGTTTATGATGATAATCTTCATGGTAAGAGATAGCTGTTTTTGCAAGGTGAGCATACTATGCAAGTTGTAAATCTTGGTTGCTTTTTTCTACTACGATCCCATGGAACGTTGTCTTATGTAAGCTGTCAACCTTCTCCCCTCACCAACAGGCAATGGTCTTGTTTATGTTTAATGTCGTTATTTTTTTAAGTTGAAAAATAATCTTTCAATAAGAAAACTACCTGATTTAAAAAAAGAAAAAAAAGATGTCTGAGCACTCATGCCAAAAGGAGAAAAAAAAACCTAAAATTGGATGGCCTGAACTCCTCACCAGAGTGTAAAAGAACGGAAGCATCTTACCAGTTAAACCTGATCCAATCCCTCCACAGTAAACTGTACAATTTTTTGGACTGGACTGGTTCACAACATCTTCAAACCTCAGCTGCTTTGCATTACCTGAAGTAAAAAGCAGGAAAAAAAAAAATCAAAAAAGCTCCAAGCTTTAACACATGGCTGCAAAGCTGAGAGTGCTTCTTACTTTCTTGTGCACTTTTTGGTGCAGGTGGTTTACGTGTTGCCCAGTTTGTTCTGATCTGTCGGCCACCTAACCACTGTCCTCCCATATGTACTATGGCATTTTCGGCATCCTAGGAGCAAGAGGTACATGTAAGAGTACTACCATGCAAGCCGGGACCCACAAAAAAAAACAAGAAATAAATGGTGCCACATTGAAAAGCAGGGGATAAGTGATAAATTGGAACTCCAGCCACAATCTTTTACCGCTTCCCTGCCACCCTATAGCAGAAATACTGCTACAGGGTGGCAGGGGTGCGCAGAATCAAGTATATCTACGTGATTTTGTATTTCCAGGTAGGGGGCGCACACAAGCCATGTGTACGCCCTATCCGCGCCGCCATTCTCGGCTGTCAATCCCCAGGTCCCAGCTGGTGATTACCCGCCGGCGCCCAGTGATTACATGATTATCGAGGATTTCCGATGGGGAGGACGTCTGCTTTGTTTACTAACAGTCTTTCTCCCTGTCAGCTCAGGCACACTGCTCTGGATGGCTAGGCACAACACAGCCATCCAGAGCAGTGTGCTTACAGTGAAGCACCAACACACCACCCCCCAGAAAAAAACACTCCCAGTGTGATTGCCCCTCATGTTGACCCCTTTCTGCCCAGTGCCATTAGTACAGTGTCAGTGCTTTTTTTTTTTTTAGCTCTAATCACTGTATTGGTGTCACTGCGGATGTCAGTGACACCACGTCAGTTCCCCCCAGTGACAGAATGCCTGCCGCAGTCCCGCTATAAGTCGCTGATCGCTATAACTTTCACGTAAGCTAATTAGTTTACACGTATTGGGATTTGTTTTTTTAGCAAAGACATGTAGCTGAATGAATTTTGGCCTAAATTTAAGACGAAATTTGATTCTTTAAATTTTTTTTACTTGACATGTTTAATAGTCAAAAATATAGTTTTTTTTCTCAAAATTGTTGGGTTTTTTTTTATAGCACAAAAATAAACAAAAACGCACAGGCGATTAAATACCACTGAAAGAAAACTCAATTCGTGGGGGAAAAAAAAAAAAAAGAATGTAAATTTCATTTCAGTGCAGCATTGCATGACCGCACAATTGTCAGTTAAAAGAACGCAGCGCCGTAACGCAAAAAAAAAACGGCCTGGTCAGGAAGGGTGGTAAATCCTCAGTAGGGCAAGTGGTTAAAGTGGGGAAGTAATGATGGTTTAGAAGCCTCAGGCTCCCTTGAGGAAGATTTTCCTTCTTGTTTTTGAGTCACCAAGGTAGAAGTGAAAGATTCTCCTCAATGTGAACACACCAGTTAAAAAAAAATCTGACAGAGCTTCTAATCTTTTCTCACTCTGTCACATTGGGAGTTGGTTTGATTAGCAGATGAATATTTTGGACATGTGCACGATGACACTCACCAGTTTATTGTAGAAGGAAACAAAGCCGTAACCCTTCGACTTTCCCGTTGCCATGTCCTTCACTACTCTGGCATCTCTGCGGAGAAGAGACCACAGAGAGGTAAGTTCATGGTACAAAGATGAACAAGCAATAAATAAAAACTAAAGGAACCACACACACTGTTATTGGCAGATATTCCTCCTCCATCTTTATCCTTTATCTAGTCTTAGGAGCACTGACTCCCTAACCAGCTCTGACATATTGCTAGAGATCAATGATATCTACAGCACAGAATTCTAATATTAACACTTTGTATTAAACATGCAACCTAACCATTACACTAGAAAATAAAATATGGTCTCTCTAGTCTAGCACTCAGCCCTGGCTCACCATGCACTCACTAATATCAATGGCTGCAGAATATATCAAATATCAAAATGGAAAAGAGGAAAAATAGGAATTAAAAGGCATACATGGCCTGTTAACAGATTTCTTTATTTTTCTTGCTCAATTCTTTACCACCATTTTGGAGTTTGGGCAGCTGTAAATTTTGAAAAATTGACATTTTCAGAAAATTTAAGAAAGGCGAATAAAACTAAAGAACAATAGTTCAGCACACCAGTACAAAACAACAAAACTAACACAGAAATGTATCGTGTCATAGAAATCTGATTAAACCAGTAGAAAATAAATAAGAATAAATAGAAATGAGAAAAAAATCTATAACTGACTCCAGTGTGCACAGTTCCTTGCAGTTAGCCTTCAAGAGTCTGTCCATATACCAGCCATTCTGCAAAATAATCAGAATGCTATTATGTTTAATGATGAGTGGGAGCGAGGCAAGAATCCTTACACCTGCACAGTGAACCAGAGACACACAGCAATATTCAGCTCAGGTTACATGGAGACAGAGCATTGGTACAGAGCACGCCCGGCACTAGTAATCAGCTGATCCCTACATGGAGACAGGGCGATGGTGCAGAGCATGCCCGGCCGGCACTAGTAATCAGCTGATCCCTACATGGAGACATGGAGAGAGCGATGGTGCAGAGCATGCTCAGCACTAGTAATCAGCTGATCTCTACATGGAGAGAGCGATGGTGCAGAGCATGCTCAGCACTAGTAATCAGCTGATCTCTACATTGAGACAGAGCGATGGTGCAGAGCATGCTCAGCACTAGTAATCAGCTGATCTCTACATTGAGACAGAGCGAAAGTGCAGAGCATGCTCAGCACTAGTAATCAGCTGATCCCTAAATGGAGACAGAGCATTGGTGCAGAGAATGCCCAGCACGGTTAATCAGCTGACCCCTACATAGAGGCAGAGTGATGGTGCAAAACACGCCCAGACCTGGTGATCAGCTGATTGCTATAATGTCAGAATAAGCATCTCATGTTACATATAAACAGAACAAAGGTGCGTAAGCACGTTCAGCACTAGTACTCAGCTGATAGCTGCAATTATCACCAAACATTTTCCATTAGCTCTCCAAATCAGCACCCCAATTCACCATGGCTGCTATCTGGAGGCACATAGGAAATGTATACAGTTCATATTGTTCACCAGATCCTTTAGATATTGACAAATACTAGGTGTGCCCATCAGCCCATACTTACTGGATTAGGAGGGGTGCGCCAGCTTCCCTGCCACATACCATGACAGGACATTACCATCAAAACAGCAGGAATGCCAAGAGCGATCTCAGTCCAGCTATACCAGGACACAAGGCCCTGACAACTAACTGGCTGAGGAGTGGCTGAACAGCCCCAAGTTTCCCATGCTTTATTACATACATATATACATTCACAATCTAACATATCAGATTTAACTGAAACAAACAGAAAATTCAGTACATCTGGCAAATACGCACAACATACATAACCATGTTGTATTAGACATGAGAGAGATTAAAACAACTCACTAATACTTACGAGATTTTACCAAACGGAGCAAAAGCTGATTTTATGTCTTCTGTGGTGATTTCTGGACTCAGATCTCCAACAAATACATGGAAGTGATCTGCAGAGAGAGATTTACTCAATCAGTGTGATCCACAGTGAGACCAATCTGGGGTGTACACAGAACTAGGAGCTAGCTGAAGCTACACACAGAGGCAACGGTTATCTATAGAACATGAATGGGGGCACTTTCAGATATGCTTTCCAGTTGTCCAATTGACGTTTGGAGAATCTGAAAACACTTAACGTAGTAAGGAATAGAAGTGTTTTGAATTTAGATAAATTAAGAGAGAATACCAAGAGAGGCAGCCTAAACAGCACATGGACTTGTAAATGCTAGCGGCCAGACTTTCTCTTAACCCCTTTCCTGCTGGAGGGGCCTGCAACAAAAAGGGATTAATAGCACCATCATACAGTGAAGAGGATTGCTGCCACAATGGAGGAGAAAGCTGTGCTTCGTCCATAGCTCAGCTGTATACTTACTCGATGTGTCTTTCTTCTGACTGCTGGGAGTTGTGGCCCAATTCACCTTCACCTCCTGCAGAAAGAAGCAGAAAACTGATCAGCACCAAGAAGAGACAATGTGGCTTCTGATCAAGATACAACCACTGTCCCTCCTTCCACCAACCACAAAAAGATGAAAAAAAAAAAATCAACAATCCCACAGAAAATGCAGCTTTTGTAAGCATGGATAAGGTTTTAATTTTTAGGTTTTCGAACCCCACAGTGGGATGGAAAAAACAAACCCCCTGCAATGACACGTGCCCCCCAGCCCCCCCTTGCAAGAGTCAAATGCTCAATAACTCTAGGGGTAGAAGAAGAGGCTGTATCAATTACCTTACTCCTTGCTGCGGCATGCTATGGTACTCTGCTCTTTGATACTCAGGGCAGTGGGTGGGCCTTTGGCATCATCATGTACAATGCAGGACCCATGTGAACGAGGCATTAGAGGGGAAACTGCAGTAGACCAATCACTCAGCAGGAGGAAGCCTGTTGGAGCGAGGAGTGTAGTAAGAATTACACCCTATTCCTTTACCTCTATAGCAAAAAGGAGCATTTAACCCTTGAAGTGTTTGGATCCCCCACTGCAAGAGTATTTCTTTCCAGTGCCCAGAGTAGGGCTTTATTGGAACCCAGTAGTATAGCTGAGGTTTCCATCCAGTGCTGGAGGCTTCCATCAGAGTAAGAATTCTAGAAGAGGTGCTATGTCTACTGCTGACACATTATTGGGCATTATGAAGCCAGAGCTGTGCTCTGGAACTAGTCCTGCTTCTGCAGTCTCCAGGGCTGGAAGCAAGTGCTAGCTCTGTAAAATATGTCATCCTTTAATGAACTATTCATGTTGGCCTTTGGCACAAAAACAGCTTTTACATTCAGAGCGGATTATATATTTTTGCAATGTAGAGAAAGAAGAGCTCTACAAAAAAAACCCCTTCACGTAGGAAGTGCCTCTGTCCATTATGCCTTAGAGGACCTGTACTGTGGAAGCTGTGCTCGAAAATGGCAAGCAAAGAATAAAAGACAAGTTATCAGTATTGTCTCCCTGCAGCTCATTTTCTCCCCATTACTGGCTTACCATGCGTTCTTATACACTGTGACGCCAGATAGAGGCAGCCATCTTGGAAGAGAAGGGCTGCCTCCTGATGACGGGTGGAAAGGCATTTAAGTAGCAGCAGGAGAGGTGAATATCTCACAGCAGTACCTTAGATGAATTCACATTGCTGTTATACAGCTTTGAGGCTAAAGAACAGGAATGCCTAGGCACAGAAACTGCACCAATGTGCTTCAGGAGAAATTTAGGGCAAAAAGGTACAACACAAGTACTGCTTAGACACATTTACAAGCTTTTGTCAACAGACCAATTTTGTGTTGATGGGCAAATACAGTATACTTCTGACATCAGCTTAAAGTCCGGTCTGAAATGTATCTAAGCTTAAATCTGCTCCCACCACCAATCCAGTTCTATACTGACTACCCTGTAAAAGAAAAGATGTGTATGTTTACCTAATCTAAGGGCGTTTCAGTCCAGTCACGTGACCGGCTTGCAGCACGAGATTGGGGGGAGGGGGGTTAGGAGGGACAATTGACAACAGATGCCCCAAAGCAAGCCTATGGGTGAAATCACCACCCAGGCACTGCAGCAGTTGTGGCTGCCCTCTCTTCTCCCCTGAAGCCGGCTGCTGGGGAGATCATGTGCCCAGAAAAGAGCACCCTTAAGTTATATGTATACACATCTTTCCTTTACAGGTTAGTTCGTATAGGACTTACAATGGAGGTGGGGGTAGATTTAAGCTTAGACAAGTTTAGACCGAACTTTTACTTTAGGATGTTTTGGAGATCATTTAGAATTTACGGAGAGATGAATTTAGACTGCAATTGCTCTTCTCCTGACCTGCTTTAGACCAGTTTGAGCTACTTTTGCATTTCTGTAGACTTGTATGGGGAAAGCAGTAGTTCTTACACAAAGAAAAGCTTATTACCAGGCCTGATCATTATTAGAGGTTCTCCATAAGATAGCAAAATGTTCACTTTCCGAGTTTAGCTCCACTAACATCGGTATAAATTACTGTGAAATCTAACTTTTCAGGTGCAGACTGGACAATGAACCCCATAACTGGTCCAGACATTGGTGCACTCTTCCATTATGACTGATAGCAGGGCACATCTAGGGACAGATGGATCCCGACGCTGCTACCTTCTGTACCTTGAATAAGAACTCCGAAAGGGTGAAGCACCACTGTACAAGTACAGAGACTTCAATATATAGTAGTGATGGAATAACAGCTGTATACTCTATAGAGCATTACAGTAAAAGCCAAAGTACCAAATCCATGCCACATCTCTTCACACAAATCATAAACCTTGCTCACCTTTCCCAAGATCTTCCGCCCGTTCATTGCCGCCAACGCAGCAGCAGCGTCTCTATGTTCATAAAACTCCACAAAACAATAAGGGTCATTGCTGGTATTTGGCAGAGCAGAAAAGCCAGTAGATGCAGCCACCCTCCGACTGTCCGTTTGCTAAAAATGAGAGAAGAAAAGTCCTTATATGCATGCACACAACAGACTTGACACATCCTCACTGGCACCTTGCTCTTTATGCCCAGACAGACGCACACACACCATTCAATGAGTAGCACAAAACATTTACACTGCAGTCCCTCCAAATACACTTTCCAGCTAGTGAAGCCACTCACGCACTGTTGCTCAATAACTCAATAACTCAATCACATCTGACATGGTAGGGGGCTGCTTATGTATCCATAACTTATATTATCACTTCACTCACCACAACATCAGCCATAACTTCCAACAACATTTTAATATCTTCTAGAAGCCGTTCAACAGGTTACATATTTTACAAGTTACTGAAGCATAAGCTCTTGAAACAATTGGAGGTAAACACAGGCAAGCAGCAGAACACAGAGCAAAACGTAAACATAACAGGACAAGGAGTTGGATGTAAACACATAAGCAGCAACATTGGTAGCTGGAAGTAAACACGGATAAGCAGCAGGACATGGAGCAACAGATGAACCCAGGTAAGCAGCATGACATGGGGCTGGAGGTAAATACATGTAAACAGCAGGACATGGTCTCACTTACATCTGTAATCATTTTACAGCTTTTACATGGCCCAATCTGACTGAATAGCTGTAGAATCAGGACTTCCGTTACATCCCTGGAGAGGTTGCCTACATACCTGTGGAAGAAGCAAAAGAAAAATACTGACTTTGGCTCTAAAATTATATTTCTAGGTTATTAAATTCTCAAAGCCCCAGAACAATTAAATATGATGGAAAAAGCTTGCCTGAAACAAGCAGAATTAGGAACACTAAACTCTGGTTTAAAAAAAAAAAACTTTTCAAATTTGTATTTTTAACTTAAAGAACCTGTAATTGCTCATAACCTCCTCCAAACCTTTTTTTTTTGCTGCTGCGCTCAGATTTCCTTTTCGAGGGAGTCTACATTCATTCTCTAGGGTAGAACTGTAGAAGCATAGCCACCCCTTTGCACGCGCCAGAGTTGAACTATTGGATTTATAGTGTGCATAAAGCAGTGCACATGACTGCAACTAACATGCACTGCTCATTCCAAATAAAACAAATGATGGGGGAAAGGAGAGGACATTACAGGGAGGCAGTAAAACAATTTTAAGGAATTACAGGCCCATTATTTAGTGAAAGTGCATGAATTACATGCAGAGAATAAGGACATTAGTCAGTGTCACTAAGTTATAAACACTGAAGAAAGGCAGCTGGATGTACATCAATTTGGCCCTCACAGTTCCTGCAAAAGAGCCACATGTCAAAACCATCAGTGGATCAATCTATATGGGCAGAAGACACATGCTAGTATATGTAGTCTTAGGGTTCTAGTATACACTCACTGGCCACTTTATTAGGTACACCTTGCTAGTACCAAGAAAATCCCCCACACCATTACACCACCAGCAGCTTGAACCATTGATACAAGGCAGGATGGATCCATGCTTCCATGTTTATGCCAAATTCTGGCCCTATCATCAGAATGTTGCAGCAACCAGTCTGCCCATTCTTCTCTGACATCAACAAGGCATTTTCATCTACACAACTGCTCACTAGATATTGTTGTCTTTTTCGGATCAGTCTCTGTAAACCCTAGAGATGGTTGTGCGTGAAAATCCCAGATCAGCAGTTTTTGAAATACTCAGACCAGCCAGTATGGCACCAAGAACCATGCCCCGTTCACTCAAATCCCCTTTCTTCCCATTCTGATGCTCGGTTTGAACTTCAGCAAGTCGTCTTCACCATGTCTAGATGCCTAAATGCATTGAGTTGCTGCCATGTGATTGGCTGATTAGCAATTTGTGTTACCAAGCAATTGAACAGGTATACCTAATAAAGTGGCCGGTGAGTATATCACGTTGTTACACAGCACTAGCTTCAATCCTACCATCTAACTGACCCCTGTGAGATGCTCTATGTGCATTGTGGATACAGGTCATTAAAGAAAGAACTCTGGTGAATTGAGGAAACAGATTATGACACAGGTGTAATGTGCTGAAATACACGAGCAGCTCACTGATTAATTCCATATGTTGTCTTACAGCCGTGGCCAAAAGTTTTCACAAAGTCTGCTGCTTCAGTGATTTTAAATCTTTTTGTCAGATATTACTATGTTATACTGAAGTATAATTACAAGCATTTCATGAGGGTCAAAGGCTTTTATTGACAATTACATTAAGTTTATGCAAAGAGTCAAATATTTGCAGTGTTGACCCTTCTTTTTCAAGACCTCTACAATTCGCCCTGGCAGTCCATTCTTGCATAATCAATGCTTGGAGTTTGTCAGAATTTGTGAGGTTTTTTTTTCACCCTCCTCTCAATTATTGACCACAAGTTGTCAATGGGATGAGGTTCTGGGAAGTTTCCTGGCCATGAACCCAAAATGTTGATGTTTCGTTCCCCAAGCCACGTAGTTATTTGTCTTTTGGTAAGGTGCTCCATCATGCTGGAAAAAGCATTGTTCATCACCAAACTGTTCTTGGTTGGTTGGGAGAAATTGTTCTCAGAGGATGTTTTTGTACCATTCTTTATTCAAGAACCATGTAGCAAACATATGGCGCTGCTCAAAGCTGGAGAACGCACAATCACCACGCTGGCAAGGAAGAGGGAAGCAGCGTCCCAAGTTGTACCTGAAACTAAGCAGTGTGCAGGGAGAGAGAAAGGACGCTGCTCATACCCGTCCCAAGGAGTCCTGTGAAGACACTGTGGTGTGGATGGCCTCAGCAGTCACTCCGGCCACACCCTGTCTTCCTGCACATTCTTTATTCATGGCGGTGTTCTTGTGAGTGAGCCAACTCCCTTGGCTAGAAAGCAACCCCACACATGAATGATCTCAGGATTCTTTACTGTTGGCATGACACAGGACTGATGGTAGCGTTCACCTTTTCTTCCCCGGACAAGGTTTTTTCCCCAGATGCCCCAAAAAATTAAAAAGGGGATTCATCAGAGAAAATGACTTCACCCCATTCCTCAGCAGTCCAATCCCTGTACTTTTTGCAGGATATCAGTCTGTCCCTGATGCTTTTCCTGGAGAGAAGTGGCATCTTTGCTTTCCGTCTTGACACCAGGCCATCCTCCAACAGTCTTCACCTCACTGTGTAGATGCATTCACACCTGCCTGCTGCCATTCCTGAGCAAGCTCTGCGCTGGTGGCCACCAATCCCCATCTGAATCTACTTTAGGAGACGGTCCTGGCATTTGCTGAACTTTCTTGGGCGCCCTGAAGCCTTCTTCTCACCAACTGACCCTCTCTCAAAAGTTCTTGGTGATCCAATAAATGGTTGATTTAGGTGCAATCTTCGTAGCACAAATATCCCTGCATGTGAACCCCTTTGTTCAAAACAATGATGAATGCACGTTTCCTTGCAGGCAAATTAATATTTGTGTCAGTCTCAAAACATTTGGCCAGGGCTGTAAATGGTTCCATTGGGGCCCATTTATACTGGAGTGGTATGTAACACATATTAACTTAGGTTTCATTAATGCAGCCAACTCATTTGAAAGGGCAGCCTAATGATCAAAAACAGAATATGCATATTTTAACAATACAGGTGTTGTGGGAAGGAAATTGGAATGCTATTCAAAATGAATGGCACCACAGAGCACCATAACCTGAAAAGCAGAAATTTAATGCAAAACAGTGTGACCCAGCCTAAAAAACAACTCTTGACTCAGCACTCATCCCCTGGAGCTCCCCTCCTCCTTGTTGCACATTTTTGTTCATATCTTCCTTATTCTAAACTCTTCAGGCTGGTTAGGATGACATGCTATTAAAAATGGTGCATGCATAGTTTCGGTGAGTTATCAACTTCCTTAACACAACGCACATTAATGCGTGATATAATGATCACATGTTCACACACCACGCAGCTGTATATGGATTCTCAAAGAGCCATTTCAGAGGAGCAAAACCAATCAGTGAGCTACTTATGCTCCTCCTCTTCCAACCTTCTCCCAACAGGGGATGGTCCTGCTGGTCCTGAATGTCATCAGTGACACTGTGTATCATTACACTGAATTAGGGGGGCTATGATATCACCCCCTCAGAGGTAGGTCTATGACAGTCTGCACTCACAGCATCACCTTAAGCTGGGTATATAGGTCGGGTCAATTGTGGCCAATTCCTACCTGCTGGTATGCTGGACAAACAGTCTGAAAAGGAGCTAGGTGGAAAAATCAAGAGACCCGAACAAGAGAAATCTATGCATGTATGGTTAGTCCTAGCTAAGGCCAGCCATAGCTCTGAAGGAGTTAGCCCCCGAAATGCGTCAGTGGGCATTTTCACCCTTTCTCCAGTTAGATTTGGACAGCTGACTTTCTGGTTTTGTGCATCAACATGCCTTTACCTCATTTGACTTGTGAGAATGTTTTCTTATACCCTTTGATAAAAGTGTTGAAGATACTGTGCTAGGTGTTTGCACCCTCTCTGTGTTTTGTGCAGTGTTGGATTTCCCCGATCTGAGGGCTGCACCTCCATCTCTTTCCAGTCTGGGTTGCTGAATGTCTGAGATTTATGGTTCACGTGATGGGTGCCTCTTCCATTTCTGAGCGCTGAAGTGTCAAGTTTGGAATTCCTGGTTTCAGTACATGTATGGTCAAATATACAGAAGATGATACATAGAAGGACGTTCTTCACTAGTGGAATTCCTCCTGTCATCTACTCTCTACCTATCCCAAGAATACAGAGCCCTCAGCACAAAGATATCAAAAGACACAAATCTCTACTGCTACTGTAGGGAAAACTAGAGAAAAGTGACTACAAGTTCTCTGGAAGAACCATGTGACCAGATCCGACCATTCAATGGCTAGATGTTTCACATTTCATTACACGTGTCCAAACCTGACCATGATGGAAATTGGAAATTAGGTTAACAACAAGTGGTTGACAAGTGACCTCTCCTGCAACCCTGCTGCTGTCAATACGTTGTTCTGACGACACGGTTTGGACTGAACCGTAAAGCAATCTTCCCAAACACAATCTTATAGCTGATCTGAAAAAAAGACTGTTCCCATAGCTCGAGATTACAAAATCTTAAGCTGGATCTATACATTAGTAAATTTTTGTACAAAGTCAGACAAACATTTTCAGAACTTCTAATAGCTTGACGAGTGTTGTTCAAATTTAACTTGCTTTTAACATTTGATTTTGGGACAAATGGACTTCAATGATCGAAAACCACATACACTGTTAAAAATTCTTTTGTTCCAGAAAAATTTCCCGTCCTGCTCAAATTTTCTCATAACTGAGGTTGCAAACAGATTTCACCCCACTTACTAGCATTCATAAAGTGATAGCAAACAAAATATTTTTCTACAAAAATAATTCAAAACACATCCACGTCTAAGGGTCCCATAAGCTGCTTTTCAGGAGATGGTTTCTTACTGTTTTTCTGCCTGACTGTAAGATCCTCGGAGTTCCCGAGCCTCTCCTTTTCCCTTCTCGCTTCCATTTATTTTGAAAAAACAGTGCATATTAGTTGCGGTCATGTGTACCTACCTAAGCACACCACAAGGTCAACTGTCCATCTTGAGAGCACTGCTCTATGCACAGTACAAATCCGATAGTTCATTTGAGGAGCGAGCAAGAGAGGGTGACTGAGTTTCTACATATAGTAGGACCCTAGAGAACAAATGCAGCCACTCTCTAACGGGAAATCAGATACCAGCAGCAAACAATTTAAAAAAATGGAGATTGGGAGGAGGCTGAGAGCAATGGAAGGGACATTCTGAGTTAAGAATACATCACTGGATAACATTTTGTATTCTGAAACCAGTTTAGTGTTACTTTAAAATGTCAAATTTTGAACCAAATTTTACTTGTGTATATCCAGCTTAAAATGTTTCTAAAGGCACCTTTTTATTAAAATAATAAACACCTTATACTTACCTGCTCCACCATTGGCACAGAGTGGCAGCGAACCTTCTCTTCTTGGCTCCCTGTCAGTGCCGTCCACTCCTCTTCTGCGACTGTCCCATAGCAAACTGTTTTTCTATGGGGGCAGACATGTGGGCTTGATCCCTAGCCAGGCTGTGTGTGTCTATAGACACACACAGCATGGCTCGGCCCCACCCTGCTCTCTAGTCGCTGCATTTGATTGACAGCAACAGGAGCCAAGGGCTCCCACTGCTGCCTCAGTCTCTGTGAGTAGAGGGAGAAGAGAAAAAAAAAAAAAAGATACAGCCAAGCACAGTGCTGATTGACGTATTTTAGGGAGGTTGGGGAGCGCAGCAACTGGTAAAATATTTTTCACCTTAACACAGGGAACGCAATAGGCTAAAAAAAAGTTTTAGCTTTATAACCACTTTAAGGTTTGTGTCAAAAAGTAGAGCAATATTTAGAGGCATGTTTTGGTGGAGAGGCACATTTTAGTGGCCACTTAATATAATAGACTCAAAATCATATAATCATCTTACAGAATAAAATAAATAAATCAGTCCTGAAGAGTAAATATTAGGTCAGGAATTATTAAAGCAAATGTCAATAGTTCTTCTGCATGTGACTCTCCTCCGGGAGTGAGATTGCTGGTCCCCCTGTGCAGGTTGTGCTTGCTTCCTACACCATGACAGGGCTGAGGGGTGAAATAAGGGCTGACAGAAGGAACCAGGCATGGGACACTCCTGGTCGTGTTCATCTTCTGTTAGTATTCAGTATTTTCCTGGGAACTCTGGACCTGTGACGCTAGGGAGACCGTTATTATACGTTTACTCCAGGAAGTGCGTAACATGCAGACTTCTCAGCTGGAATAGCAGTGGAAGACAGCAAAAGTCAACAGCATGGGCTGTGGGAGGTGTCACTAGGAGCTCGTGGCTCATCTTTGCAGGGTGATCTTTTGTAAAACAAGCGACAAAGATACTAAGGGCTCACTCAGACAGGTTTACGTATTGTTGCAGGATCTCACCAGCATCAAGATCCTGTGTAAGATCCTGTCCGCACACGTGAACTCTTGGACGCCATATTAATGTGTAATCTGCAGCCCCTGTGCTCCTGATCGCACGCTACTGATCGCACACGCTACTGATGTTTACATGTCACCCTTCAGTAAATCATTCAGGAGGTAGGAACAGAATAACTGGACATACCGGTAACTAGACATCTATGAACGACTGCTGAAGTCACTGTAGGCATGCTCCACCACAATAATTTACAATTGTTCTAGCAATCAGGTTCGCTAGGCAGCAAAGTCTGCCTGCATCCCAGCAAACAAGGATGCTAGGGGGCACAATATGCCTGAATCCTAGCAACCATAGGCCACCTGCTTCCTAGCAACCAAGGATGCTAGACAACCATGGGAGCCTGCATCCTAGCAATCAAGGATGCTAGGCATCGGGAACCACAAGCATCCTAGCAACCAGGGTCCACCTGTGTTCTAGCAACTAAGGACACTAGACAGCATGGGATGCCTGCATCCTGGCTACCAGGGGCCAACTGGACCCCAGCAACCAAGGATGCTAAGCATCAGGGCCCACCAGTGTCCTAGCAACCAAGGATGCCAAACTGAATGGGATGTCTGCATCCTAGCAACCATGGGCCACCTGCGTCCTAGCAACCAAGGATGCTAGGTAACAGTGGGAGCCTGCATCTTATGCTGAACGCAGTGGAATGCAACGCTTCCAGGCACAGCTGTCTGAATGGGCCCATATACTTGAATAATGCTGAGAAAAAAATTACGCACTGTAAGCGTGGCTATTTACACCCATGTGAATGATATATTATTCCACAAAATAATCAATATCTGAATATGACCCGACTGTGCTTTCCTCAGAACAAATCCATCATCAGGTAATAAAGAATATATATTTTAAACATTTATTTCCAGCAGTTAACTTTGCAATCCACAACTCTGATATTGGATAAAGCACAGAAGGGACAGAACATCTGTCAGGCTTCAGTTGTTGTCTCTATCCCACCCCTTTTGTTACAAGGATTGTGTGTCACTGGGACAGGAAGTGAGGGAACATCTTACCACTGGGGACAACGACAAAAACACCAATTCTATTAGAGTGGGGGGGATTTTACTGGCATCTGTATCTTCCTGTGTTGGTGTCACAGGAGGCAGGAAGGTATAATATTGTAAATCAAGTCACCAAAGAAAATGAAAACCTGATGGAGGGGTCAAGGCGTCTCCAAATAAGCTTTCCCTGATGTTCGGTTTTAAAAGTGGCGGTGCCCCTGTGTCTGACCTGGCCTGGATAGCTGGAAAAATACAGATGACCCTCATAACAGAAGGGGAAATCTCATCTATTGGCAAGAATTGGAGGATGATCTCTGACCAATCACATCTCTGTGTGTATGGTGACCTCATCAATGGGCTCTTTACATGAAGTCAGCGTGAGGACAGATACAATACAAATCTACCAGAGACCCTGGGAGAGCCGTGACCCATACAGACATCAGTACGTAGGAGACCTCACTACTGTGCCTAAATCCCAGGGGCCCCTGGTACACCAGGGCCGCACTCACTCCATATGTTGTGAAGTCACAGTGGCTAAATGGTTAGCACTTCCGCCTGGCAGTACTAGGGTTGTCGGTTCGAATCCCAACCACGGTACCACCTGCCTGGAGTTTGCATGTTCTTCCTGTGCCTGCGTGGGTTTACTCCGGTTTCCTCCTACACTCCAAAGACATGCTGGTAGGTTAATTGGATCCTGTTTAAATTGTCCCTAGTATGTATATGAATGTGAGTTAGGGACCTTAGATTGTACGCCTCTTGAGGGTTAGGGACTGATGTGAATGTACAATATTTATGTAAAGTGCTGCGTAACTTGATGGCGCTATATAAGTACCTGAAATAAAGGCCATATGTTGGGGCCCCAATGCAACACGTGGTAGGCCAGGGGGCCCCATCTAAGTACAGTATGTGGAAGGCCAGTACACAGAATTCAGTATTATTCTTCCATTCCATGGGCCCCTGGCATGTTAGGGCCACACTTACTTATTCCATATGTTGTAAAGAGTATGCCAACAGCCATATGTTGGGGGTCCCCCAGCACAGTCTGGGCCCATGGAAGGAAAGAATAGTACTGAGTATGGGCCGTGGGCACCCCTAGCACAGCTCGGCCCTGAGGGCATCCCCAGCACGGTGCGGCCCCGGGGGCATCCCCAGCACGGTGCGGCCCCGGGGGCACCCACAGCACAGTCTGGGCCAATGGAAGGGAAGAATAGTACTGAGTATGGGCCGTGGGCACCCCTAGCACAGCTCGGCCCTGAGGGCATCCCCAGCACGGTGCGGCCCCGGGGGCACCCACAGCACGGCTCGGCCCCGGGGGCACCCACAGCACAGTCTGGGCCAATGGAAGGGAAGAATAGTACTGAGTATGGGCCGTGGGCACCCCTAGCACAGCGCGGCCCCAGGGGCACCCCCTGCACATCTCGGCCCCGGGGGTCCCCCAGCACAGTCTGGGCCCTAGGAATGTTAGAATAGTACTGAGCATGGGCCGTAGGGCCCCCAGCTCAGTTCGGGCCCATAGGCACCCCCAGCACAGCAAGGCCCCGGTGGCACCCACAGCACAGCAAGGCCCCGGGGGGCCAGCACAGCAAGGCCCCAGGGGCACCCACAGCACAGGCAAGGCCCGAGGGCCCTGACTATACCACCAGGGGACCGGAAATTACTGCAGTGGCCCCTGTACAATGTGTGGCAAGCGAGGGGCCCCAGTAAAATGTGTCCTGACTACACCATCAGGATCCCTATACAATAACAAGCAGGCCTGGGGCCCCTGAAGATACAACTGGGGCTCCCTGTACAGTGTGTGTCAACACATACCGCTTGGGGCCCCTGTGCTGTTTACAGGAGGCCACACACACCAACATACAGGTAACATTCCAGAACCCTCACTATGAGGCCGGGGCCCCGGCAGCCGATGCTATACAGTGATGGGGGCCCCTGAGGAGGGCAGTGAGTGCTCCGGGTACTCACAAGGTGCGGGGTTGCCCGTCGTCGTCCATGTTGGCCGGGGGAGGGTGCAGGCTCCCGGTGCAGGAAATATGAAGAAGCTCCGTCCGGGCCGGAGGAAAATGGCGGCCGCGGCGGTGACCAGTCAGAGAGAGGCCGCCCACTGCGCAGGCGCACCACAACCGCGCGCTCCCGAATCCCCGGCTGCTACGTTACCCATGTGAGCTGCGCGCCCCAGAGTCCGCGGGGACGAGCCCCGCCAATAGCGCCAGTAGCGCCACAGCTTCTGACTGGGGAAAAGCAGGAAGGAGCTGCGTAACCTGTACAATGTTTCTACAATCTGTATACATGTCCCATATCGTGTATATACACCTCAAATATTTGTACACGTGCTGAAACTAGGCCTTTTTTTTGCTGGGTATTACTGTACACCCCTCAAACAATATATATTTTATATATTTTCTGAAAGCAGAGATCCTGGAGAATAAAGTGGTGGTAACTCCATTTGTTATGTCTGTTAATCGTGCAGTTTATTAAATGCATATTTTTCAGGAAAAAATATTCTAAAATGAATTTTAGTGCAAACAGAACCAATTTTCTGTAAAATATATAAAAAAAAAGGGTTGTGATGAGTAAATAGATACCAGATGCGTCAAGCCTTACAAATCGCGCATACCTATGGAATTTCCCAAAACTACGGTACTCAATCTTGTCTACAGACGACGCTTTCAAAGCCTTTATAGTTTGTAAGTTTAGAGATAACCATGAATTATGGCCCTGGAATTATGGAGCTCCTTCCGACATTTGTAACATACAGTCATGGCCAGGGGCGGACTGACCATTTGGAAACTCGGGCACTGCCCGAGGGCCCGGGGTCAGTAGGGGGCCCCATGAGATGCCCCTGGTACCTTTTTCATAGGCTTTTGTGAGTTTGGGCAAGGACACAGGGGCCCCATGATCCCCTATTGCCCGGGGGCCCCATGAGTTGTCAGTCTGCCCCTGGTCATGGCCAAAAATATTGTCCCCCCTTCATATCTGTCAGATAATTCACCACTTGGCCCAGAAAATTGTTGTAATTACAAATGTTTCGGCGTTCTCATGTTTATTTGCCTTGTTTGTATTGGTATGACACAAAAAAGTGGAGAAACAAAAAGCCAAATCCGACACATTCCATGCAAAACCCCGAAAATGGACTGGACAAAATTATTGACACCCTCAATGTAATATTTGGTAGCACACCCCTTGGAAAAAAAATAACTGAAATCAATGGCTTCCTGTAACCATCAAGGAGTTTCTTCCACCTCTCTACTGGAATTTTGGACCACTCTTCATTGGCCATCGGCTCCAGGTCTCTCAGAGTGGAAAGGTTCCTTTTCCCAACTGATGTTCTGAGATCTCTCCATAGGAGCTCTATGGGATTGAGTTCTGGACTCATTTCTGGCCAGTTCAGTCCTCTCCAGTACTTTGTCTGAAACCATTTCTGGGGGCTTTTTGACGTGTTCTTTGGGTCCTTGTCCTGCTGTAACACACATGACCTCTGATGGAGACCCAACTTTCTGACACTGGGCCCTACACTGCACCCCAGAATTCTTTGGTAATCTTCAGATTTCATAATTCCATGCACATGGACAAGCCATCCAGTGCCTGAAGCAGCAAAGGAACCCCAAAACATCAGTGAACCTCCACCATGTTGGAGATTTTTCCCCATTGAGATCTGATGTGTTTTCAAAGTGTTCCTTTCATTTTTTTCAAGCAGTGTATTTAGGGAGGTTGGGGAGCATAGCAAGTTGTAAAACATTTGTTACCTTAATGCAGGGAACCCAATAAGGTAAAAAAAAAGTTTTAGCTTCATGACCACTTTAAAGCAGAGCTCCACCCAAAAAGGGAAGTTCCTCTTTAAAGACTGGTCCCCCGCTCCCTATTAAGGATAGGAACTTTGGGAAGCTGGTTTGACATGTACCCACTTCCGCTGCGATCACCTAGGCATCAGAAGTTGTCCTCCCCCCTCCCTCCCCATAATCTTCTGGGACATGTGACAGGTCCCAGAAGACTACGGGGCCATTCAGGAAGCGCAATGCTTCTCGTGCATGTGCACTGGGCACCCGGCTGTTAAGCCGCAAGCTGTCACATCCAGGTGCTCACACTGAAGATGCCGGTCCCTGGAACACCAGACCAGGGGCGGACTGACCATTACGCCAATGTGATTGTCTGGATTTTTGTTCTCATTTTGTCTCTCATAGTTGAAGTCTACCTATGATGCCAATTACAGGCCTCTCTCATCTTTTTAAGTGGGAGAACTTGCACAATTGGTGGCTGACTAAACACTTTTTTGCCCCACTGTAGTTTCTGGGGTTAGGAATGGACGTATTTTGGCGATGTTGCGGAGGTGGAGTCTACATGAATTTGTCAGCGATTGGACCTGGGGCTGGAAAGACAGATAGGAGTCTGGAATGACACCTAGTACTCTGGCTTGTTGGGTGGGACTGATGATGGCGTTGTTGGTTGTGATGGAGAAGTCAGGGGGTGGGAGGCGCAGGCTGGGGGGAAAACTAGGAGCTCGGTTTTTGAAAGGTTTAATTTGAGGAAGTGGAGTGACATCCAATCTGATATGTCGTTCAGTAGGCTAGTGATTCGGGCAGGAAGTGAAGGGAAATCTCCTCAATAGAGCACAAAAAAAACCTGACAAGGGTTATAACCGCCCCCATATTTTATCCAACATGAAAACATTTTGACTTTAGTTTTACTTTATTGCAGTCTTTGCATTAGATTAAGACATGCCCCACTACCTTTTATTCCCCCGACATTCTTTTGTCATCATCACCACTTCCACATTCTTATGGTGACCATACACTCTTTGATAAATAAGAGATTTCCTTTCCACATGATCTCTTCCGATGAGAAGAATCGATCCACAGTCGACAACCCATTTGATGCATACGCCACACACATGAGAAAGTGATTTCTATTGTTGGCTAAGATACAATCATAGAAATTGATCACATCTCCATTTTCACCATCTAATCTCAGAATCTTAACAATTGAAATACAGCTGTATTCATGAACAAAGTGTCTCAGTGTTATTGATTGATGTAAAACAATCGATAATATTCAGTTTTGGCCAATCGACTCAGTTTGATCAAATTGTAGTCTAAATTGAGTCTAAATCGATCAGAAGGGAAGTTATATATATCCAGTTGTTGCAGATGTGATTGTTTTGATTGAATCGCACATTGGTTGGAAAAACAATTGAAGTGTGTCTTGCTACCAGCACAGGTTGTACAGCAGCTGGTACTCAACCTTCCTAATGCCGCGACCCTTTAATACAGTTCCTCATGTTGTGGTGACCCCCAACCATAAAATTATTTATCCAGTAATTATAATTCATGAAGTGTCGTTTTACCTGCAATACTGCTGCTTTCAACACAGTAGCTGCTTTTAACAGAGTAGCTGCTTTCAACACAGCAGCTGCTTTCTACACAGTAGCTGCTCTTTACACATCGGAAATATGTGTTTTCCGATGGTCTTAACCTCCCTGGCGGTATGATCATGTCAGGAATTTTTTGTGCTGAAAGCGGTACCATTTTTTTGCATGGAAATATGTAGTTTTTAATTGTAGGCTGTAATTTTTAGGAATAACTCACTGAAATCTATCCGAAAAAGAGTCTATTAAACATTCCGGATATGATAAAACTTGAAACACGAAATCATAAATTATAATTTAATAAATAATCATAAAAAATAATAATATAATAATAATAAATTTAATTCAATAATATAATCAAACCAAAAACACTGAAATTTGAAATACAGAGGCAAATTCGCACATCGCTGAGCAAAGTCGCAAAATCGTTTTCAGTGTCTGATGACGAATTTCCCCACAAATCATTATCGCTCAATTCTGCAAGTGGTTCTGATTTACTATCGCTGTTCTAAAACCGCTTTTGACGTAAAGGGATGCTTTTTGGACGCCATGGACTTTTCTAAGTTTCCAGGCAGAAAGAACAGTCAAAATGCAGGCAGGGCACAGGACAAAGCAGTGGGGACAAAATGTATGTGAAATGCAGTGAAACAGCAATGACAGCAAAAATGTCATTTTTTAAAAATTTCAAATTTCCCGCCGGTTCCGCCGCCCGAACGTTCCGACGTCACGGGGACTGGAACACGGAAGCCAGATGCCGGCATCCGCCGGAGGAGATGGACGGGCACGCTGCAGGGGACCCATCGTGGGAGCGAAGGACAAGGTAAGTGCTGCAGGGACCCCCAGAGAACGCTGCATGGTAAGCCCGAGTGTAGCTCGGGGTTACCGTACTTGGTATAGAAATTCTACCCCGAGCTACACTCGGGAAAACCGCCAAGGAGGTTAAGCAAACCCCTGTGAAAGGGTTGTTCGACCCCCAAAGGGATCGCGACCCACAGGTTAAGAACCACTGTTGTACAGAGTACTGAGGACAGTGCCAAGATAGGCTCCTGCTGCCATCGATCAAATTGTTGGAAGAAGGAGGGAGCAGGAGCATAGCTTACTGGGCACCGCGTGTCTATGGATGCACACAGCACCAGCTGAGAGTGAGCCTGCATACACATGTGTCACCATGATATCGGAATTAATGAATACACAGAATATGGTGACCTACTAAGGTATAATATGTATAGGGTAATCTATACGGGGATTGTGAGGTAATGTATACGGGTAATATGATGATCCAGTATGGAATATTAATGTACAGAGTGATCTATATGGGGATTGTGAGATAATGTATATAGGGAATATGGTGACCTATTATGGTATATTATTTACAGGGTAATCTATACGGGGATTATGAGGTAATGAATATGGGGAATATGGTCACCTATTACGGTGTAATATGTACATGGTAATTTATACGGAGATTATGAGGTAATGAATACAGGGAATACGGTGACCCAACAATATATTATCTACAGGGCAATCTACAGTATATGGGGATTGTGAGGTAATGTATAAAGGGAGTATGGTGATGCAGTATGGACTATTATCAACAGGGTAATCTATGCGGGGATTGTGAGGTAATGTATACGGGTAATATGGTGACCTAATAAAGTAGAATATCTACATTGTGAGGGCAATCTATATGGGGATTATGGTGATCCGGTATGGCATATTATCTATATGGAGGTTATAAAGTTACATATACAGGTCATATGGTGAGGTTATAGCTCTAGTATGGTATAATATCTATGGGATAATCTATACTGTATGGGGTATATGAGGTAATGTATACGAGGAATATGGTGATCTAGTATGGTGTATGATCCACATGGTAACCTATGTGGGATTATGAGGTAATGTATACAGGATATATGGTGATGTAACATCTCTGGAGTAGGATATGATTTAGGCCTCTTGCACACGGAGATAATAATTTCCTAATGTTTATGCTCTGGATTTTGTTGGCAGAAAGATCCTGAGTAAAACATTCCATCAGAACTGGCGTAAACATGCGTACATGTGTGTATGTGTATACATGTATACAATTCTTCATCCTCTTCTAGTTGCCAGTGTTGCAATATACGCATGTAAGTTACTACAATGGGCAGCACAGTAGCTAAGTGGTTAGCACTTGCACCTAGCAATACTAGGGTTGTCAGTTCGAATCCCAACCATGATGTCACTTGCCTGGAGTTGGCATGTTCTGCCTGTTTGGGTTTCCTCCTACACGTCAAAGACATGCTGGTATGTTAATTGGCTCCTGTCTAAATTGGCCCTAGTATGTGCATGAATGTGAGTTAGGGACATTAGATGCTAAGTTCCTTGAGGACTGATGCGAATGTATAATAAATCAAGTGATGCGTAAATTGACAGTGCTATATTAATACCTGTGTAGTACCCCTCTAGTTAGCCAGGGGGAGCTAACTAGTTTTTTTTAGTAGAGGCTGGATAGCAGATTGGGAATGATTCAGCCTGGGTGTGAGTCAGCCAGGTAATTTTAGGTCAAGGCTGAGGGCTTGCAGATCAGTACCCTGATACCTCCCCCTGCTCTAGAGACTTGAGAAGTTTCTGGAAGGCAGTGGGTGGATGTGAGGAGGGGCTAATCTGCATACTTAAGGGTTCTTGACCAATCCCCAGGCAGGAGGCTTTGCATGGGGTCAGGACAGCCCTTAAGTATGACTGAGCAAGCTCAGCAGCAGGAGGGTTTGGGTGGAAGATGGAGTGAAAGGCTGGGATACAGGAGCCTGGGAGGGGCCCAGTGGGAAGGCTGGATCTGAAAGTAGGATCTCTCCACCTCAGCTGTTCCCTGAAAGAGGACCACCTATGTAGCAGGGAAGGAGCCAGTTCAGAAGAAGGCCTGAAGGCAGCCACAAACCCAACAAGCTCGCGGGAGAGAAAGATTGAATAGTCCTACACTCCCTGGGCTGGATAAGGGAGAGGGTATGTGGGTGGGAAACCTGACTAGCCCCGATCTGGGACTGTTGATTTAAAGTGACAGATTCTGGGTCCCCTTGCCCAGGGATTCCCTCAGGCAGCTGGATGAGAAGAAGATAAATCTGGGGTCTGGGGTGGTACACTAGGAGGGCTAGAGAGCTCTTCAGGAAAAAATCTTTGATGTATAGAGACTTGTACATAGTTGCTAAGGAGTTGTCTTCAGTTACAGTTCAATTGGGCATCCCATACACCCCTTGACCCCATCCATGTTCAAATACCCTTTAATAAAACAAATAAAATCTCAAGGACTGCTTACTGCGTCCTGTGTGCAAGCTTGAAGAGAATGCGTGTTGTCCGGCTGTGCAGGACTATAGAGGGACCTAAATCTTCAGCAACTCTTAAGGGGTAGTGCTACACCTGTAATAAAATGCAGGTGTACCTCGGTTTACTGATTTAACGCATTCTCCAGGATGTTTCCTATTGCAAAAAATTTGTAAACCGAAATGTGGTTTCCCATAGGAATGCACTGAAAACCAATTAATCTGTTCTGGAGGTCATAAAAAAGTCATAAAAAATTTTACAGTATCTGTTCAAAACTCTTTATAAAGTACACTTTAAAGGCATAAATACTGTAAAGGGACATGATTAAACAAAAAAATTGTAAATGCATTGATAACCAATTAATCCGTTCCGGAGGTCAGAAAAAAGTCAAAAAAGTATTATCTGTTCTGAACTCTTTAAAGGCATGGGGCCAGCCCTATAATCGCTTCGTATTGCAAAAATAACTAGTAAACCGAGGCATTCGTTTCAATGGATTTTCATTCGTAAACCGAAAATTACGTTTAAACGAGGTGTTTGTAAACCGAGGTACGCCTGTGAATAGAAATACTGCAATCAAACTTAGGCTCAGTTCACACTAGTGCGGGTAGAAGATGCTGCAGAACCCACACTTCATCCCGCAGCTGCAACCAACCGCACACAAAACTCTGGACCCACGGGCGAATGCCATTAACCTTAATGCCTTGTGTCCCCGCACAGTGCGGTTCCCAGTGTGGGCATTTATGGAAAGGTGCAGGGACCTTTTCCCTGAGTTTTGCAAGGCACGGCAGCCTATTCAAATAACTGGGCTGCTGTGCCGTGGCCTGAAAAACCACACTAATGTGAACTGAGCCTTAAAGGCTGCTTTAAGGCCTCCTCCCCCACTCCTCTTTGACATATGGCAATTTTTTTTTGGGGTGGGGGGGGGGTAGGGAGCAGGTACCTGATTTTGACTTGCCTAGGCGATCTGAGAGGAATTCTCCTCCCTGCAGTCCTCTGGGACACATCACAGGTTCCAGAAGACTGCGGGACTATTCACATTGAGCAGCGCAGATGCAAGTTTTCTGCGTTCAAAAAAATGACTGTAAACTCAACTGCCTGTAAACAACATAGTGTACATAGGCACATAGGAAAACATTAGGGGGAGTTCAGAGGCTGCTAAAAAAACGCTGAACAGCTCCTCAACTGCAGTGTACATGAGCCCTAACAATTATTCATTAGCAATTTTGTTTCTATTACTGACCTTTTCACTCAATCAGCACTCTTCCCGATTGGTTTTATTTATTTTCATTAGTCTTTATTAGGCATTATTAGATGTCATTTTCAGACATCTAGGAGCACATTTACACTTTATGATATTTAGGGAGGTTTTTTCCACATTTCCATTGGACACTTTATCACACTGGACATTTTTCTTGGTCAGTCCGTAGCTTTGTTTCTTTCTTTTTTCTCTTTGGGTTCTTCAGTTTTATATTATTACATATGTGTGGTTCATTATTTTCACTTGTTTAATCATTATTGAGTTACCCTGTTTATTATGATTTATATATATGTATGAAGTCATACAGAGGTGGACTGACAACTCATGGGGCCCCCGGGCAATAGGGGATCATGGGGCCCCTGTGTGCTTGCCTTTTTCATAGGCTTGCAAAAAACCTATGAAAAAGGTACCAGGGGCATCTCATGGGGCCCCCTACTGACCTCGGGCCCTCGGGCAGTGCCCGAGTTTCCAAATGGTCAGTCCGCCCCTGAAGTCATAGAATCTCTGGGATAGCGCTACACCCAGGGGTGGACTGACCATTTGAAAACTTGGGCACTGCCCAAGGGCCCGGGGTCAGTAAGGGACCCCATGAGATGCCCCTGGTACCTTTTTCATAGGCTTTTTTAAGTTTGGGCAAAGACAGGGGCCCCATGATCCCCTATTGCCCGGGGGCCCCATGAGCTGTCAGTCCGCCCCTGCTCTGTACAGCACTGCTGTATATGTCAGAGCGGTACTTGTCTGTTAATTCACCGGATTTTTTATATATATATATATAAATGGATAAATCCGGTGAATTAACAGGCAAGTACCGTCAGAGCTATATCAATGTATAATAATAGTGTGTGACTGTGCTGGAACATTAGAGTGTAAGCTCTTCTGGTTCAGACTGGCTCAGTGTTCTGTGTACATCACTCCGGTATATGTCAGCGCCATACATACACATATGGGGAATGTGGCCTGAGACATGTGGAGGAAGGCAGCAGACTGACATGTCAGTTGCGGGCGGAGCTGTGCCAGTGATGAGTCAGGCTGAAGCTGTGCCCTGCCAAGTTCTGCAGAAGTTTCCAGCAGTTACTTGCACTCTCCTCCTCCTCCTGTATACTGGCAACCTCCTGCCCGAGGTGCCACCCTACTCAGAGTCTCCGCCTACTGTGCCACCCACTCTCTTAGTCCCCGCCCACAATCCCACCTATTCCTCCTGTTCTCCGCCTAGGGTACCGCCCTCTACGCTGCCTCACTCGCTCGTGTCTCCGCCCACTTGCTCAAGCTTCCGCCCACTTTCGCCGCTGTCTTCATGCAAAGCCCCTCCCCGCTCCCCCCCTCCCTCCCGGTGTCGGGTGTCCTCGGCTTTTCCAGACATTTCCAGGTCGCTGTCTGGCGTCACCTGAAGTCGGTAGATAAAGTCCGTCGGGATCGGGATGGCTCATCAGCCTCTTACCAGGAGCACCATGAGGAGTCACCTGTCCGGAGACCCGCTGCCCCCCGGCTGGGAGATCAAAGTGGACCCCAACACCGGCTGGCCCTTCTTTGTGGATCACAACAACAGGACGACCACCTGGAGCGACCCCAGAATGCGGGACAAGGTGAGAGCTGCTGGGACAGGGGACACCGTCTGTACCGCCTCTCATCACACAGCCAGGGGCCCCAGGGACAGGTCAATGTAAACGTCCAGGGGCCCCAGACACTGCTATCATAGGGGCCTCAGACACCGCTGTCATCACAGACACGGGCCCCAGGGACTGATCAGTATGAACGTCCAGGGGCCCCAGACACTGCTGTCATAGGGGCCCCAGGGACTGTTATCATTGGGGGCCTCAGACACTGCTGTCATCAGACACAAAGGGCCCCCACGGACTGATCAATGTAAACATCTAGGGGCCCCAGACACTGCTATCATCAGAAGAACAGGGTCCCTATGTACTGCTATATTTAAATGTCCAGGGGCCCCAGACACCATTGTCATTAGGCATGTAGGGGCGCCCAGCAGTGCTCTGATTCAGCACACAGGGGTCCTAAACACAGCTATTAGACACAAAGGGGACCCAGACACCATTGTCATCAGGCATGTAGGGGCCCCTGGCACTACACTGGACACACAGGGGCCCGGGGGGGTATGGCTCTTATCAGACACAAAGGGATCCCAGGCACCATTGTCACCAGGCATGAAAAGGCCCCAGCTGAATTTAGAGGTCCAGGGGCCCCAGACACCATAGTCATTAGACACACAGGGGCCCCAAGCACTGCTGAATTTGAAGGTCCAGGGACCCCAGGCATTGGTTCCTTCAAACATGAAGGTGCCCCAGGCACCATTGACATCAGGCATGCAGGGGCCTCAGTAAAATGCTAAATTTAAAAGGCCACTGTTGAATGCAAATGTCCAGGGGCCCCAGACATTATTGTCATAAGGGCCCCAGGCACTGGTGTCATCAACCATTAAAGGGTCCCAGGCATTGCTAAATTTAAATATCCAGGGGCCCCAGACACTATTGTCACCAGGTATGCTCTGATCTGATAATCACACAGGGGCCCCAAGCATGGCTGAATTTAATGTTTCAGGGGCCCAAGGCACTATTGTCATCAGACATGCAGGGACCCCAGGCACTGCTAAATTTAAACACCCAGGGACCCCAGACACCGTTGCCATCAAGTATGCAGGAGCCACAGCCACTGCTAAATTTAAAAGTCCAGGTGGGCCCCAGTCGCCGCTGTTATCAGACATGAAAAGGCCCCAAGCTTTGCTGACTTTAAAAGTCCAGGGGCCCCCAGGCGCTGCTCTCTTCACTTGCAAGGGGCCCAGGGCACTGTTGGCATTATACACGAGGACCCCATCAGCCAAAGATGGCCATACACATTCCAATCTGATTGTACAATCTCCTTTACATCTGCTGACAGATGCAGTGCTAGGGCCCGTCTGATAGGATCTAAATGGATAAATGACTGTTTAGCTGGGCTGTCATCTGAAAGAGATTGTAATGTGTATGACCAGTCCTGTACAGATCTGGGACTTTATATGTAATTCTGACTTCGGTGTGTGATTTATCTCCATGACTTCCCATGAAATAGCTGGGCTTGTCACCAACCAGCAGGGACTGTCCTGCAACCCCAAATACTAGGTTGGTAGTCTGCAAGGACAGACCTTCTATGGGCTATGACAACATGTACATTGTATGTTCTGACAGATTGTTGTATAACATGTAGACTTGTAGTGGTACTTTGTGTTCAATGATACATTGTAGCAGATATGTTGTGTCTATAACTGATACATTATTATTATTCAGTATTTATATAGCGCCAACCAATTGCATTGCCAGTTACAATACAGTTCAGTGCAGAAGGGCTAGGAAGGGCCCTGCTCACAAGAGCTTACAATCTGTTCATGATGTGGACTTGTAGGGGCCATGTCAGTGGTCATGGAATTGCTCCCGACTGGCCCAGATTTTGACTTGCTGATGGGAGAGCCACTAAAGTCGCTGGTCTGGCTATAGCGAGGGCGGCGCTCCGTAGAAAGAGGTTAGCGATCAGTGCCTTACTATGACCATGTTTAGGCAATGACATTGTCCAGATTTGGCCACGTGGCCGTATTCGGTTAGTCATGTCGATCCTTTGTTATATGGGGTTACAGGGTGAAGAAATCCACGGCTGTGGTTGATTGGGCTGGTGGCCCGCTAACATGCGATGGTTTCCCGCGGGTTTGGGTCAAACTGAGTTTGGCCTGAACCTTAGATCACACTACTACCAACCACAAACTGCTGTCATTGCCTAGCCTCAAGAAGGGGATGCTGTACCTTCTACAGGGTGTTGGGTACAGCTGCTTTCAGCCATAACATGGTGCCAGTGCCTATTGACATGAAGGGGTGCCATACTGTCTATGGGGGTGTTGGGTACATCGCCTTCTGGCCGTAATCTGATGTCATTGTCTAGTATCAGGAAGGGGGTGCCATACTGTCTATGGGGGTGTTGGGCACTTCGCCTTCTAGCTGTAATCTGATGTCATTGTCTATTATTAGGAAGGGGGTGCCATACTGTCTATGGGGGTGTTGGGTACATCGCCTTCTAGCTGTAATCTGATGTCATTGTCTAATATCAGGAAGGGGGTGCCATACTGTCTATGGGGGTGTTGGGCATATCACCTTCTAGCCGTAATCCGATGTCATTGTCTATTATCAGGAAGGGGGTGCAATGCTGTCTATGGGACTGTTTGGTAGAGCTAACTATACAATGTTAGTACTGGGATCTTGAAGCTGTGTTATTGTGTTCTGACAATGGGACCCCCCCCCCCCACCACCACTACCACCAGAACACATCGGTCAGCACATCGGATGCCAGTTGGCTGCTTTTTTCCAGCATGCCCATTCGACAGAAGTTGGTCGTGAGACCGGCTTCTGTCGGACAAGGACCTGTACACATGGGCAATGTTGGCCAGTTTCTACTGTACCAGCCGATTTCGGCTGATATTCAGCCCATGTGTATCAGGCTTTAGTCTCAGGTTAATAACTGCTTGCTGACCGTATAATTTGCATATATGATGGCAGAGCAGCTCTTCTGTGCCAGCAAGTGATCAGCGCTTCTGGGTAGGGCGTGCGTGCGCATGCACACCCACCCGCCTGCCAACCAACCTGGGTGTGTTGTGATTTGTTACAGCACAAGCCAATCAGCAGATCCCGGCCAATGATTGACCGCAGGGACCTGCTGATCGGCTTAGTGATTCACAGACAAGAGTTCTGTACAGTGACAGAGGATCATGCCCTGCTAAGCAGGGGGGAAAAAAAACAACTAGATCCCTTAGTAAAATCAGCACACAGTTCACACATTAATTCTTCCTAGGCACACAGTTAACTCTTTGAGTGCCCCTACCCAGTGTCATTAGTACAGTGTCAGTGCATAGTATTAGCACTGGTCACTGTATTAGGGGCAGTTAGTCAGTTCCCACAAAGTATCAGTTAGTGTCAGATTGCCCGCTGTACTGTCACAGACCCACTATAGGTCGCTGATCAATGCCATTACTATATAAAATAAATAAAAATTCCAGTGTGTGTGTGTGTGTGTGTGTGTGTGTGTATATATATATATATATATATATATATATATATATATATATATATATATATATATATATATATATATATATATATACACACACACACCCCGTCATTTGTGGACGCTATAACTTTCACACAAACCAATTAATAAAACACTTAGAAATTAGATTTTTTTAAATTTTTTTTATTGGATAAGTTTTATAGCAAAAACTTAAAAATATTGTTTTTTTTGTTTTTTTTTCAAAATATTCAGTCCTTTTTCATCTGTATAATAAGAAATAAAAAACCCCAGTGCTGATCAAATTCCACCAAAATAACACTCTATTTGTGTGAAAAAATGACAAAGATTTAATTTGGGTATGGTGTTACATGACCACGCAATTGTCAGTAAAAGTAGCGCAGTGTTGCATAGCAAAAACTGGCCTGGCCGTGAAGAGGGGTAAATCTCCCGGAGGGCAAGTGGTTAAAGAGACCTGTCAGCATAGAACTATGGAAGCCGCCATCACTAAGCTGGTTTTAAAGGTGTTGGCTCTAGCGCTGTCATCCTGAACCTGGCCTCCCCACCCTGACACTCCCTCCCTCTCCTACATGCTTCTGCCAGGTCATTGATATCCAGGTAGAAAAGCCAGGGGTTAATATATCCTTTGGTAAACCAAGTCATGGATGGAAGCTTCAATATTTCAGGCTAAGAACATTTTCAACAATTACAGAACATTCCTATTGATCTTGCCAGGAATGCTGTGTCCTTCTCACTTCCAGTGAGCTGCACCGAACAAGAAGTTCCTTCCTAACTATTCTTTGTAAACTACGTGTTGCCCTGCCCCTCATGTAATGGTGATGGATACATACGGACATGTTTGTAGTCCATATCAGTAGAAGATCATAGGGTGACAACCATGGCTGCCTTCATAGACACAGTGGCCACCACACTGCAATATTACATTTTTGGGTTTGGATACACTTTAGTTTGTGGGGTTAATTTATATGGGTTAGGTGAGCCATTAGGGATCGGTTGTAACACATCTTTTCCTCACCACGACCTCCATATTGAGATGAAGGCTAAAGCTGGCCATCCTTTACCTTTACCAAAACTATGTAATATAAAGACAAATCAAAACAATTTGAATTAGTATCAAATCATGCAAACCCTTGTACTGCATAGTTGATGAAGGATCTAAAGGAGGTTATACAATTAGATTGTATAGTGTATGGTCAGACCTATGAAGTATTGAGGGGAACTGCAGATTTTCATGTTGTTCTAAAGCAGTGGTCTCCAAACTGCAGCCGGATGTGGCCCTTTGCTTGCCTTTATCTGGCCCCTTGGGGCACTATTCCACCAACTGTCCCCAGTGATGGAGCACCATTCCCTCTACTGACACCATCAATTGGGCATTCTACTTCTCATTGATATCAACAATGGGGCACAATTCCTCCTATTCAAACTAATGATGGGGCTCTTCTCCCCACTGGCTACAGTCCAGCCCCCCTAAAGTCTGAAGCACAGTAAACTGGCCCTTTGCTTAAAAAGTTTGGAGACCCCTGTT